TTAAGTACCTAATATCTAGTAATACTTAGGAACGCCTTATGAATATGAATCAGTGGTCATATTATATAGGTATTTATTTCGAATTTGAAATCACATATACAATATACAATATACATTATAGATAATAATTTAGTTAAGTGTTAAAATACCATTAAAATAATTATATGAACAGAAAATAAAGACACCTAAGTTCCTGCGTTGATTCGTGCGTAGTCTGGCTTTGTTTTGGTTTTGTGATATCGGTATATTCCTCAATATATTCTTTATAATATTTCGGAAAAGTCATCAAAAAAATTGATAATAATGGTGACCATAGTGATTAGTTATACTATAGCCGACCGAACACATTAAAGTCCAATAATACATTTACGCTTTTTATTTCATTGGTTGGTCGATCATATTTAGTATTTAATAATATTATATAAAGTAATATAATATTATATTTTGTTTATTTCTATCAATTGCAATAATTGTAAAAAATATAATTAGCAAATTAACATATTCAAGAACTATTAAATTCTTCGTTTCCAGTGGTCGAAGTAGTTCAAAATAAGTGGAGGGATGGAAAATGTGAATTATAAAAAGTGGTGGCGGGATGCCATCCCACCGTATCCCCCACTTCTACCACTTTTCGTTTCAAAAAAACTTCAATGGTTTATTTATATAGGTACAATTTTAGGTTTAAGGTGTCTTGTTAATTAAGTATTATTATATTAACATTTCGTATTAACATGTTTCATTTCAAATTCAGTTCAAAAATATATTTTTTTTTTTGGTTAACAAACAAATGATTATTGCAAATATGCATATGTAAACAAAAGACTCATTCAAGCATGTTCCAGACACAGACACAGTATTTTTAAGCGAGAAATCAACGTAGTCAATGGTTGTAATTACCCATGTATGAAATGTAACATATTCCTAAAATATAATGAGATTACAAAAATGTATGATAATACTCGCTTTTAACGACAACAATTAAACATTGATGATTTGGCCTGCAGGGTCTGTGAAGTGCATAAATTATAAAAATGTAAAAAAATGAACTACTTTAAAAAAAAAGTTCCAACTCTTTTTTGAAAAATAATTGTATTCTTAAAATGACAAAAGTTTTGCAAAAAGCTTAAAAATACAAATGTTCAAATACTTTCAAAGTTTACTTCATAAGAGTTGTAATAATTTTGAGTAAATATTAGATAAGTTTTTAAAAATATAGAATTATTTTTGAGATAGTTTTTTTCCTATAAGGTTGAAATTTTTTATAGTTTACAGGAATATTTTTTCATGAAAATATTTACCAAGCAATTCAATAAGAAACATATGAAACATATTATATAATAGTATAATACACAAAGCTAGTTCCTCGGTTTTTATCTCTGATTCTAATTAAAATCGTAGTAAATATGTGCTTCATAGACTTGATAAACCAAAAAAATTATTTTGTTTTGTATTATTTCGCATTTATAATTCGAAGTTGTTTTAGGGACTTAGGGTCTTTTGAGGACTAGAGTAGCGGTATTACTTCGAGGGGCGGTGAATAAAATGATTTAAAATGCTGCAAATGCAAATGGTTTTGTAAAATAGAAATGTGTATATATTACTGTGTAATTTATGTGACATGCAACTTATTATTGCTCACTTTTTGCTCCTTGTCCAACAAATATGTCATCTTTGACGGATTGTTAAATAAATTGTATAGTCGTATGATTATACAGAGAAAGCGGCAACGACTAATACGTGTGCTTCAACTAGCGCAAAAGAAAAAGGGTCGTCCAGGAAAACGTTGCCGTCGGTGTGACAACGGTAGTGAAAAGTTTACTTTAACCCCGCAGAATTATGTCAAATGGGGACAGCTGTTTCTCATACACATAATATTATGGTCGTATCGCGATTAAATAAATGAATAAGCACTGTTTGGGTTTATCATACGAACATTTAAGTAGACCACGTATATGATTTACGTAATCAAGAAAGAGAAAGACGTAGACAATCTGTAATGGTTGAATAATTGACCCCGCCTATCATTTACCACCCTTTATACCATAATCCCGTATCCATACGGCATACGATGTTCTAAGAGTCTAAAAAAGATATTTATCTTTCAACTTAGAACGTAATCAACGACCACTACACGTCTGACTTGGATTTTCCCGCCTATGCCCCACGAAGTAGGTATGTATTTATCGTAAAACGGATTGACCACTTTTACTTATTAGTTATTCCTAATGTTCGGCATGTATAATTTAGATTTATCACATTGACCTTACAAATAGTCCGCGTAAATATGACTTATCGTCAATAACCAATGCATGCACATTGCATATAGGCATATAGCATACCAAATAGCGTAACAGACAAACAAACTGTACGTTTCGGGGTCGGGAATGAAATGTCCACGTACTTTTGATGAGTGGTGACGACAATAGCTGACAACCTTATTATTATTTACGTAGAGTCCATGAATACGTCTGCGAATAATGCTCAGAGATGGCGCAATAAATAAACCGTGCAGTCATGACGTCATCGATTGCCTGACACTTTATCGGACACGTCCGGGTACGGAACGGGGCCAAGGTCACGGAGAGGGTGACGACGACGGCGACGACCTCGACTGGGGGATCTTGGAGGAGAGTGAGGGGGGGGGGTGGACGAAACGAACACAATACACCGTCTGATAACAATAATAATACCTACAATAACACTGAAGCTTAACATATTAGTTGTCGAATTCACGTATTTTGTACTCACACGATTCAATGATGGTGACAGATCTGGTCTACAGCGTAGTGTTGGAGTGCGACGGCGAGCAGAAGATGCTGCGGGCGAACACGGGGGCGGCGGCTCGGGCGACAGCGGCGTAGTTCACTGGGCATTGTGTCACCCAAGTAGTACGGGCCAAAATCCAGTCCCGTGGGGTCAGGTGCGAGCTTCTGGTCCAGTGAAACGGTCCGGCTGCCGAGATCGTGGTACAGGGTTTTACGAAAAGAAAAATGTGAAAAATCGAATTGAAATAATATTCGTCATGCGATGAAAAACAAAAATGCCGGTTTTTTCGCCGTTTGGATGTTGTTGTCCTGTCCGCAGCAATAATTGTTCGGTTTTGCACTTTTGCACGCACTCGTAATATACTCGAAGGACTTTTGACGAAAGAACTCTGTTATCAATCATGTGGATAAATGCATGATAAACATAGGCACAATATGAGCAGGTTGGTTACGACGATCCGTGATAACGAGAATCGTTCTCGCACCCGAGTCTCACGTGCACAATAATGTAATATCGCCACTACGCTAAGATTATCATATGGCTGGAAAGCGTTTTTTGTGCACCGGCAGATCGCGCCGTGCCCCAGAAACCTTCAAAATCGTTTCTCTCTTTAACTCTACCACTTCTACCACAGTAGTCGGTACTATAGCGCCATTCATTCGGAAATATTTCTCGAAGTAATGCAATTTTGCGATTCTACTGACACCACACCGCGTTCTACTGGATGGCGCCTCATGAATTGTTAGCAACGATAATATCGGTTTTTCGCCATAGTTTTGTTTGTATAAAAATGAAATGAATCTAATGATTAATCTTTATTAAATACGCAAATTTCCTAGACCGGCCAGAAATTACCATGAAAATTAAACTACTGTTAAATTATGCACACACGGAAAGAGAATGATTAATATTTAATAATTACGAAATTCAACCCTAATGCCACTTTAGTGACTTGTTAGTTGTTGGTCTGAAACAAGTGCAATAAAAGCACTTTGTGTGACAGAGGCCGGTCATGGCCACCAGAGTACGCCAGTGCACCAGCCCGAATGCAGGATAAGTCAGTGGCAACGGCGGTGCATTAGTGGATTTTTACAAATATTTTTCACTTGGGTGCAGTGGCATAGCCAACTCAAGTTTACCACGTGATAGCCACTCCTGCCACCAGCTTAAAATTGTCATCGACCTACGTTTACGACCCGCTGCGACTATAATAATATTAAATATACTATGTACAGTATTTACCTACATGCCATGATATTATGGGAGCGTGTAGAATTCGTGTTTTACGTATTATATTAATTTATTATAGAGGCAGCATGAGCAAGCGTGAATCTTTTGGTCGAGGAGATATAGGAAAATAATAAATCAGCATTAATGACAATATTATTGATACTCATATAATGACATATTATAGAGGTAGTCAATATCACACCAAAAATAAAGAAACCGTAAATTAAAAACTGATCACGATAACGAGTTTGAGTGGTCGATAACACGACATAGATAACTGAGTTAAGAGGATTTTCCAAGTAATAAAATACAACAAAAATATGAACAGTGAGAGATATTTCATTGCGTAAAGATCTCCCTCAGATTTCCAACACCCCCTGTTTAGAAAAATTTGACATCGTCTTGTATTTATTTTTATACATTTTCTCACTGTATTGAATGTTTACAAAATTAACCCTCCAGGTGCCAGTTACTGCGCCCTATGTATTTTATGAATTATAAATACCCATACTACAACAAAACAAATATTTTGACAAATATAATATATATATTATTAGTTATTAATTCAAATTTGTAAAATAATGTTTAATTTAAATTTCAAATATAATTAAATCAAATTATTTGTGCTTATTCTAAGTGGGTAGATTGGTTTAATATTAGAATTGCGGGAAAAAAGCCCTGAAAAAAATTTAACGGGAAAAGGCCCCCCCCCCCCCCCCCAAAAAAAAACACACTACGACATGACTGCTGAAATATTCATTTTTGATATTCAAAACAAACTTTATATAGTTTCAGTGGTTTAACTAGGATTTTTTCAAGAGGGCTGTTTATTATAAATATTTAACAATATAAACATACAAATTAAAACTTTGATTTTTATTATTATGAACATATTTATACATTATGTCTAGTACGAATGTACGATCAATAGATATTTATAATAATTTATAATAAATTATAAAATTAAATTAATATTCTTTTAAAGTTTAATTCATGTAATCATATAATAATTTGATTTGATACTGCTCAAAGGGGAGGGGGGGTGTCATAAACCAAACACCCACTGCATGATTATTAGATACTGGTATTACTATATATTTAAATAGGAAAAACAAATTTGACATGATTAACAATTACTTGATACTACAATAACTGTCGAGCTATCATTGTATTTTAAAAACGAATAAAAAGAAAAACAATTCCTTTCTACATTTCAAAGAGCAATAGCAATCAATACATATAATTTAGAAAGTTTATATTGTAGAAATTATTAAATATAAATCTGTTCAATACTTTAATGCGCAATACTTATATTTGGCTACATCTAGTGAAATTAATTTCTAATGATAACTAAATAAGCTTTAATATAATTAAATAATTATAAACGCAATTAATAGTATGTTAATATCAAAAAGTGCCATTCCTAAATTTGTCTTCGGTTCTTGCTTTCATTCTGCCGCTATATCAATATTATAATAAATCTATGAAATAATATTTCTAATTGAAAAATATTTTTTAATAAATAATATTTTACGTTTAAGTTCCATTGTCAGAACACCACCAACCACTTATTTAATTTTGGTTGCATTGCGAAACAGCTGCAGTCACTTAGTAAAAATTTGTTTCTGCACAGGATTGGACTGAAACAGAGTCATCATTATTATTGTTATTATAGTTATTAATTTTCCTCCCCCAGTTTTTAATCATGTTTTAGTTTAAATTATCAATTACTAGGGTCTGCGCTGCTAATATAACTCTATAATCCCCCCCCCCCCAGAAAAAATGGCTAAAAAAATAAAATTGCTGAATAAAAATTATGAGTATAAAATCCCGAGAATAAAATATTACTTACACAGTATTTTGAAATGAAAGTGATTAAATAAATGTGTTTAAAACTTTGATTAAATTCAACTTAATTGAAAATGTCCACCAACAGCTGAAAACAAATCAAAATATTTTGAAAATTGTTTCAAGTATATGAATTGACGAATTAAACGTATGGTGTAAATTTTAAGTGCCTACTACAGTTATTCGTTTTTGAATTACAACAAAATAAGAAAATCGTTACATGAGAAATCGAAGACACTTCTAATCTACAAACCTCAGCTTAGACAACTTTTAGTTTAGAGAATTATAATAATAATAATAATAATAACCATGGTCGTACATTCATTAATATCTAATGGCTAGTTAAAAAAATTATTATTATTACGCGTGTGACATTGACACCCATTCTACTGTGAACCGAGTTAATAATAAGACTATACATTTTAATACTGAGCTTTGTATTTCATAAATTGTATTCGATTGATATTAATGTCAAAATTAAAAACAAGTGTGAAAAAAAATTAAATTATAAATCCATTATGACTGACGTACAACTGTACAAGTGTATTGTGTACAACGCATTAATCCGATTATCAGTGTCTGCAATATTCATAATAATATAATATATTATTATAATTATACTATAATTTAAAGTACTGACAATCACAAGTCGTATAATAAGTGTATATACGCGTCATTCGACAACAATGGGTTTCTGAGGGTTCATTGACTAGTATGCTCGGCGTCGTGTATCAATCAATGGATTTTTCTACGAGTAGGAGACGGAAGGTTATAATATGTGTGTGTTGCGTGTGATGATATTGTTATTTGTTATTCTTATTATTATACACTGAGAAGGTATTTAGGTATTATATTACCATTTATCAATTATGAAGAAAACAACTACTCTCCGATAAAGAATTTTGAATAGTGGAGTAAACTATGTTTTAGGTTTTCGGTTAAAGTCTATACAGGTTAGTTTACTATATATAGTGTGATAACTATAAACGAGGGCAGCCATGATAGGTATTTTATCCGCAGGTTGAAATTTGGCTTCAATTTTATCAATTTACACAGCTCGAAGACATTTATAGTGAGCAATATGTAAATAATGTTTATTACAATTATAATATAGGTTAGCCTTGGCAAAAAAAATAATATTATAAGGTGCCTCATCATGAAACTTGACATAATATAATATATTGTATCAACCGAGACCGTTGTTAGAGATCAACGTACGCCCATAGTATCTACCTATATATATAATAGTATCTACAAATCATTTTTATAAAACAACAATACCAATTACGAATTTTTTTTTCGAACTACGACTTAATTTAATCGAAGAATAATACTACTGCGATGCAAGAATATCCTACACAGCTACTCAGCATGACCAAAATGCAGATTATATACACATACATGGTAGCCCGTAGCCCGTAGGTATTTACATAATACAGAGAATTTGGTTATCCACTTTATAGTTATACCAATAAGTATACATGACGATTGATAATAATGGTAAAATATGTTAAAATAAATTGATTACTTAATAACATTATTGTATAGAAAATGTAGTATTTTAATACAATTAATTTAAACATTAAACAGATATTTTACTTGTTAAGTTAAAATCTTAGTATAATTGTTTACCTAACGTGATCTTTTGATCACACATTCTTATCATCTTCAAAATATTTCGGCTCTTTTTGTATTATTTATAGATGTTTGAAATTATTAAGTTTTTTTCTTTTACTTAGGTATGTATCAGTTTTCGATGTAAAAAACTTTGGAAGTATAATACTAAGTTCCTCATAAGTTGTTCTTTCGGAAAATAATCAATATTAAAAATACCTACATGATTACATTTTATTTATAGACATTTCCATTTACAACTTGATAAAATTGAATTTTTCAACAAAAATTAGATGAAATTTGGTTTTTTGTTATTTGGTCGGAATTCCAAATAAAAATATTTATAGGGATTTGAAACTTTTTATGAGGAGAATGTGTTGTCTCCGCGGTATTACAAACATACATTGCAAATTGTACGTTCACAATAATAATTATACTTAATTCAGTAATTTTAATAATAACAGAGTAAAATGGATTATTGTTAATATGAAATTTGCTATGTTATATATTCAGGATAAAACAAAAGAAAAAATTATGGAAAAAGAGAATTACATATTACTCAAACTAGTTTTTGACAAATCGATATTGTATTTTTGGTATAATTTATTATTAAATATTTTTCTTCAAATTTCTACCAAATATTATTAATGACCATTTTCAGAGCAAATTAACATTTTCAAAATATTTTGACCCTTTTTGAGACAATCATAAACATTTGAAATTTGAAATTCATTTTTTTTTTTTTTAAATTCATAGTATTATATTATTATAATATTATAATATATTGAACTATAAAAATTGATGTTGGTATACTCGTCACGTTCATAGCTATGAGATCTGGATTTTAATGTATAAAACAAAATAAAATATACGAAAAAGGTCTTGAAGTTGAGATATTACCCCTCCCAGAGGGCTACCCCTTCTCAATATTTTAATTGTTATGACCTATTATAGAAAATGTTATAATTTTAACAACTCAGACTAATGAACTTTTATTTTTATTTTATTTTTGATCACTATTTTTGTGATACCTTTTAGACATCATGGTACCACTGGTATACTCTTGTAAGTAGTAATCGCAGCAGGTAATGAAAAATAATATTTATAAATTATTATTATTTATCATTTTACTTTTTATTAATGATTTTATAAAATTAAATTCGAACATCAAAGTACGTCGTATAAAATTTCACTTAGGTACATAATTAAAATGAAACTTTCCAGAAGGAAGGGATCCGTAAAAAAGCAGATAGTTTCGATTTAAAAAAATTGTTTAGAAAAAAACAATTTTTATTTTTTGGGCTATCCTATATTTTAACCAGAATTAAGTATTTAAAAATATTATTTTGGAGAGGATATCTGGTTTTTCAAAAGGAAAATAAACCCAGGCAGTTCCAAGTAGGTTATAACTTATATTTTTTATGCAGGCTGTTGAATTTGTCTCGTTCTTGCACAAATATATTCATCATTTTTTTTTTATCAAATATTATCTAAACCGGATTTGTGATGAAAATGGAATTGTCTTAATATTTTTGCACTTTCAGTTTTTTCCACTACGTCTAACATTCGGAATAATAAATCAAATACAATTTATTTCAAATAAATCAATATATTAATTATGTCGTTGTATAAACCGTGATCTATACAAATCAATTAATTGATAATATAAATATTTGTAGTTTGTACTTTTAATATTTTATACATTAAAGTTTACTAACTAAAATTCTATTTAACGACTTATTCGTCTATTGATGGTTAATAACTCTTAACATGAAATTATGAGAATCGTAAATCGTCTCAGATGTCAGATGTTAGATTATATTATAAATATATATGATACATCATTATTTTCTTTTATAGAACTATTTCAACTTATGTGATACGGTTTTCTTATGGTTTGTCGCATTACAAATTGAACCATACAAATTAGTCAACAAAATAGGAAGTAGCAAAATCTGCAATATTTCATCCAAATGTAGATGAGTCTGAATGTGGGAAACATAATTTATTAAATATATAACAAGAAATTATTATTGAATGCATTTCAAATAAACATAATATCTATGACTCTATACCTATCAAACGTGTGTAACATGCGTTTATTTTAGAAGAAGACAATATACACAGTTGAACTGCATTACATACTTGAGTACTATACACCTACACGCGTCCATTATTAATTTTGTTTGTTAAAAATTATTATGCGATAAGGGAAAGAACGACTTTTGCTGAAAATTACGATAAATCGTATATTCAGTTGCCTATTGTATAACGCCTGGTGATCTCGAGTTTAGTGTCGAAAATGATAAATCACCTAAAATGTCATGTAATAAAATATTAATTAACCGTCTCTTATTTATTGTAAATTGTTATATTTATAAGCTATGATTACTCTTTGTAAATGAATAATCACGAAGTAAAAAATATTCTAGTATTTATACTTATATGAGTTAAGTACCTAGTATTTTATGTTTTTTATCTTTAACAGTATGTTTGCATGTTTGTAGGTACAATTTTATGCTGAAAAATTATAAGTCATGTTCTTTAATTATATGCAATCTCATTTATTTTAAAAAAGTAGATAATTTTTTAGTAATTCAATAAGTATTAAAATCTGAGAAATTTTACTGAATTACTATTATAGTGATTTTGTTTTTAATGTGCAGATTTCTATTGTTCTGCGGATAAATGGGGGGGAAATGGGCGAATAGATTAGATATTGGTTCTCATAACGTAAATCTCTCTATAAAGTTATATTTTAAATTATATTTAATACATTGACCATGTAAGTAACTCACTAGTTTCTATGAAAAAATGTTCCAATAAATTAATGCTTGTTTGAAATAATAATTTTTCCAGTAACCACTTTTTCTACATTGATTTAACACTTTAGTTCCACTGGCCACTTGTTCCAAAAAAGCATGGAACATAAAATATGTTTTCCAAAACAACGCAATAGAAATTTTAATTGTCCCTTTACGATCCCATAATACAATTTTTATATCGGGTATTTTATTATTTATTTATTTATCTAAACTATTTATATACACACATTAATATTTAATATCTTGAATTAGAAGTTGATACCTCAGATACCTACTCATTAATCATTATAGACCATAATATACGAGATTATATGCACTGAATAACACTCAGTGTCTATCACATTATTATATGTTTTCGTTTACTGTACAATTGTGGTGATAACAAATCAATTTTTGACAGAACTACGACTAGAGTACAGAAGACTAGGAGAGTTAAGACTAATTAGACTAACAATTTTGTTCCTATTATGTATTAATTAGTACATACAAAATAGCTAATTACTTGTTGTTCCTTTAATAATTTAAATTTTTCCGTTTGTATATGTACAAACAGTTACAACAGCTATTAACCATAACAAAATGGATTTTGAAAGCAATTTTCTGAAGAAATATGGAATTTTGAAATGGGATGAGTTTACGTAAGTATACATTGGTGTATTCTTTGCAATCATAGTACATCATTGTGTGTCTAACCTAACCTTTTTTGTTTTGTTAAGCGTGCTGAACAATGACCGTCTGTCAGTCAATGAAAAAATCACTAACAAGGTGATCACCGAGTCCGAGTTGCTACAACAGTTTAAAGTGGAGTTGAGTTTGCTTAATTCTTGTAAAATAAAAATCAAAGTAATTTTTATTTTTACAACCTTAAACAATGTTTTGAATATTGTGTACAATGTTAACATTTGTATTTAATAGGACGAGTTGGAAAAAACTCATGATGTTATCGACACTGGAATACTCACCCTTTTGTGCAAGCGTATTATTGACTTGTTTGACCATATGCATGTATTGTTTTCCATTAAAAAAGAGCTGTTATCTGATTATATCAACGTTTGTCAAGATAATGTATGTGAAAATTTCAAATATTTTTAATTTTTATAATTTTTAACTTGTTCTATTATTCTAATTGTGAGTTTCTATAATTGGTTTATTAAACTAGAATGGCTAATATAAAAAATTTTAATCGAGGTATCTAGTTATTTACTTTAAATAATTAACTATTGCATAAGAAAATAGTGAATATTTTTAAAAATTATTTTATGTGTAAATTAATACATACAGCTGAATACTATACCTAAACCTATATTGTTACGTAAACCTAACCTAACCTATATTGTTACATTAAGTGATAATTTGCGTAAAATGCTAGTATGCATACTGATTAAGATAGTGTCCTGATAAAAAAATTATTAAAAATTATAACATAATACCATAAAATAGAAAAATTTTGTACCAGTGTATGAAATTTATCACGATGCTAAGATTTACATTTACATTTACCACACGATGCAAATAAATGGAATTACTCTTTATTACCTAATTATTTGAAGTGGCTTTTATTACTGTTTCAGTATTAATTGATATTATAATAGAAAGTTTTTAAGTATTTTAATTTCAAATATTCTACTTGTTGTGGTATTTTACATAGATATGTATTAAAAATCATTTTGGTTTTGGTACATTTTAAACACATCAATTAATTTACTAAGTGCTGTATTACTATGATACTCATAAAAGATTGTTTCTTTAAATTCTGTTAAAATATTTCAATAAGTACATTATTTTCTAATGAAAATAAAAGAATCCATTATTTATTTAACATTGAACAAGTTTCACAAAGTGTTTTTTTAATTATTAAATAGGTGTGTATAGTAATAATAATAATAACCAATAAGTTGTATCTGTTAATTATTTTTTTAGGCACTCTATATAAATGCAGAGCAGTTAGATATTTTGTTAGACGCTGTTTTGTGTTTTGGAGATGATCAACATATTTGGATACAACTATTAAAGCTTCATTTGAAATTAAACAACTTAGATAAGCTGATGAATGTTTTTCAAGAAGGTGTTCGTTCATTGAAGGAGAATTCACTACCTTTATGGAAGATGATAATTAGATATTTGGGAGATAAGCGTCCAGATATGGTAATGATATATTCATAATATAATATAAGTTATAACTGATTGTGGTTCACCTCCTGATATTTAATTATTTTATAATTTATTTTTTAAACACAATATCTACTTAATGTTTAAATTATATAAATGTATTTAAAATTTTCTCCTTGGGTTTTATTATGTTGTAAAACAATTTTCTACTTATTATTATTATTTGTTTAATTGTTATCTAATGAACAATACACTTATGCCAGGTTTCATGAAAAATACATTAATTTAATGGTTAAATACAATTTAATGGACCAATCATAGGCCACTAAATCAAGCTTAAGGGACTTATCATATTATTGATTCCTTAAATGTTAAATGTTAAGCGATTTTTCATGCGACCCAGGCTCTAGTCCAGGGGTCGGGAACCTTTTCGTAGGAAAGAGCCATTCTTTTAAAAAAATACAAAACTATGATATCCAGGGAGCCGCACAGGTTTGAACAACTTTTTTTTAGTAGGCAATAAAATAAAAACATAATACATAATACGTCTTAAATTTAGAAAATATAGAAAAACTTTTTTTCATTAATTCATTATTATTATTATTATTATTATTGTTTATACAAATATAATATTATTTAATTAAACACAATAAAACACAAAACAACGTATCTATTTAATATTAGTGGGATTTTTGACACTGAATTTCTCCAGACAGCTTATTCAATTCTGGAAAGTAGTCTGTAGTTTTCAACTTCAAACAAGCATCAAGGCTGATATCATTCAGTTGATTTCTTAATTTATTCTTAATAAAGTTCATGTTTGAAAATGTTTGCTCACAAATGTAAGTAGATCCAAAAATGGTCAAAATTCCGAAAGCGACCATTTTTAATTGGCTGAAACTTTCGGGAAGACTATTCCATACGTCAAATATAACTTGCTCTTCTTTTTGACATTTAGCGAGTTCCGTCCATTTATGGTTCGCAGCTAAAAATCCTTTTTCCCTTTCCAGATTTTCAATATCCGTTTTCAAATTCTCAAATTTTGTAGACCAAAGATCTTTGGTTTTTAGTTCTATTAATTGCAATGAAAATAGTCTTTTGTCGACAGATGGAAACAATGGAAAATTAATTTGTCCAGTATCCGCTATGAGTGGTGATGTCAAGAACTTCAACGTAGATTTATATTTTCGAAAATCTTCAAAACGTCTACTAAACGAATTTTTCATGGATTGAATGGCCAATTTAAAATACTCCAAATCAATAATACAACCTGAGCTTTCCGTGTACTCTTTCAAAGATTCAAAATGATCAAGATTTCCGCTCTCAATATCTTCTGAAAAAAGCTTTTATTGATAATTATCCAAAGAGCTGCAGGTTGCATTAACAAGAGCCGCATGCGGCTCCGGAGCCGCAGGTTCCCGACCCCTGCTCTAGTCAGATAGTAAAAATATCATTCCATAGATACTTTAATTTGAAGTGAAATATATGATAAATTCATACATAAATTAATAACATTATAAAATATAAAAGCAATATTATGTGTAATTATTATATCAGTTCATATTTTATAGGTTAGAACATTACTTGAAGAAGGATCAAATATATCATACGAAAATATTTCTATGGAAATCAGACCTAAATATTTAAAATGGTGTATAGAGTTTGAGGACATAGATGTTACTCGAAAAATATTCAACGAGCTAAAAGTCTTAAAGCCACCATGTTGTAAATTGTATTTAACAATGATAGCTATTGAATCTGAGGAATCAGATTTTGAATTAGATACTGCAAGAAAATTGTATGATGAAGCATGCACTTTGTTTGGCAAAGATAACATTGGTAAGGACTAAAAACCCTTTCCTCTATTAAATTAATCAAATTGTATACTTTAGGGTTCCTCAAAAAAAAATAAAAATACAAAATTACAAATCATACAAGTAGTCCAACCAAAAATCACGATTCATAACTAGAGTTAGGATGTGTTTGACCTTAATAACTTGCCCTTATAACTCAAATATGATTATGTAATTAATGAAAAAACTGAATTATTCATTTATTCATTCAAAATAAACTATACATTTTTAATCGATTATTTTTAAAAACTACACGTTTCATGTTTGCTAGTTACGCCACAAGGTAATAGCGGCTTCTAGTGGGGCTATATCAGGCATGCTCCTCCCAGACCGTAAGTTATCTAGACAAAACTACACTATTCAGAAAAAAATGATAAAATAAGCATTATATTATTATAACTATTACGATTAATAGCAAATTTCATATTTTTGAAAGCCCTTGGTATTTGACATAGGAATAATATTATGTCCATAGAAAAATTTATTGTGTAGCACGAAGCAGCTAACCTACCTGTAGGTATTGATCTAATATAAAAATATTATTTGAAGTTTAAATTTTGAGAAAAATTATCCATAAACAAAAACAATTTGATTAGATAAAAAGTGTGTTTAAAGTAAAAAATGGAAAACAATTGAAAATAAAATGTAGTTTAGCTGCTTCTATGTCATACCCAAAATTTTTATAATTTGTTCAGCAGTGTGTACAACTAAATGAAAAATACATGTTAACACATTCCTTAAGTAACTAAAATTATAGCCCAACAAACTTACTCCCATTTCAGAAGCCTTCTTCAAAATCATAGCAACTCTCAGATTATAAAGAAATTATAGAAATCTCTAGAACTATAATGTGTCAACGGCCCTAGGTCTTTATTTTTAAATTAATTTAAAACATATCATAGCCTCTTATTAATCTTATTCCAAACTACAGTCATTAAATGGTTTTTCCTAAATGACAAAAAGCCCTGTAATGAATATAATATTCTTTATGCTTATTGCCCTACACATGTATAAATTGTATAATTTTCTACATTAAAAAACAACCTTGAAGTTTATTTTCATTATAATATTATATTTTTAGGATTGTGGATTGATTATGTACGTTTTGAACAAACTAAAGGCTCAATGGTATTAAAAAGAAGGATTTGTAATAAAGCAGTATTTACTTTGGAATACAATTTAAAGGATATTTTTGTAGATGAATATTATAGTCTTGAACGTGAATATAGGTTTGTATTATAAATATTACATATTATTTTACAACTATTGAACTATTATTCTTGTTGAATTTTATATTTTAGGAAAAAATTATGTGCTGGACTTATAATCATTGAGGATTGAAATATATACACAGATATATTATGTATATATATATAAAAGAAAATTGCAAATTTATTCAGAGATGTTTTATTCTCCATGTTATATTTATTTTTGTAAAAATTAATACTGTAAGTGGATCATTTAATAATTCGTATAGAATTTAGTTTCTTTGGTTTGTGTGCAGTAGTTTATTGCAAAAAGCAAGTAGTGTAATACAGTGAAACTTTTTTTAATGATTTACTTTTAAAAATCTCTAAATATATAAACTATCATCTCTGTAAAGCTGTAATTTCTCCTGATTCCTCTGGGGTTATAGTAGAGAAATCTCACTGTAGCATATAAACAATAGTAAATTTATCTATAGAAAGTTCACGATATCGATTTCTATTAACAAGTATTACGTTAAATATAATTTAATAGTTGTAACTTATTTTAACACTTGATTTTTTTTTTTTTTATTAGCATAGTTGTCATTTTTACAATATTAAAATTAAAAATATGTTTTTAATGAACTGTAATGTTAAATTTATATTTCTAATAATCAGTGTCCACATAACCCTCGGCAGTAGTATCTATATCTAAATTGTATTTGTTATCTTCTTTGTTGAATGTGTCTGAACAGGCATAACAGATACCAACATCTTTCCAACACTGTTCGCAGTGTATGTAAACGCAACCAATGGTGTTGCAACCATACTGTTTGCCGGCAATCGTTTCTGGTTCTCCACAAATCAGACATTTTCGACGACCACACTGAAACCACACCAGCCATCCGAACAATGCCGGGAACTTAAGTCTCAGCATCAAAAAAATGTCAAGATCTTCCTAAATAATAAGAAGTAATGGAAATGAAAGATAACGTGCCTAATGAATGTTGGCTAACATAGTTTCAGAGACAACGCAATTCGATGGTTCTTAAATAAACAACTTACCTATAATGCGTTGGAAATAATTTATGCATTGTAAATCACATTTGCCCCTTAAGTTGTCCCCCCCCCCCATTAAATTGCGTCTGCAGTGGATAACTATTGTTGTCTAGTAAACACAGTTTTTTTCAACTATACACAGGAAGTAGATACCAACCGATAATTTGTTTTCGCGTGCCAATTTCGACACCTTTTGCTTCATATACCTGAAGAATGCCGTTCGCTTCCTTAATGTCTCGTTGTACAGGTACAGCACTCGTCGTTTTTCTCTCTTCCTGAAGAATACAGCGCAGATCAGTCGTTTTAGTCGGCCTGAGTAACCGGCAAATACGGTCATTGCGAACACCAGCATTAACGTGCCGTAAATCTTGTGCAAGTAATACGCGTCCAACTTATGCGGATTTGGGAGACACACTGTATATATAAGTTGGTACACATAAATAATTTCCCTTACACTATAATATTCTAATGATAGGACTATAGGAGATATTATAAATTTATAAATTATAATAATGTAAGTGTTGATGGCAACTGACAAGTGTCCCCGTGCCGAGTATTTATTCGAGTAGTATAAAGTACTATACGTACCCAGGATTTAACGATGCTTTTTTATGTGGTTTGTAGACATTGCTTTATGTTTGGTATGTTACAATAAAATACCTAATAATAATGTAATCTAGTATTATGAGGACGCCACACCCGCTTGTGTTGTCGCCGTCTTGCAAACGTACAACAGCAAAAACTATTTTGCTCGAAATAGAACTACTCAAGCTGTAGTTCAAGCTAAGAAATCAAATGTTCACGCTACAAACAAGAGAATATTTACTGTACAACATCATTTTTATTTTTTCGATATCACAGTTACAAGAACAGTTCTTATTGTTTAAAAATTCATTATTTTAAACTTGAATAACTTTATTTGTACTTGCGACATCGAAAAAATAAAAACGAGTTGGGTAGTAAACGTTCTCTTAATAGAATAAAAATTCGATTGCCGAGCTTGACTACAGCTTGAGTGGTTCTATTCCGCGCATAACAGATTTTGCTATGTTGTACGTTTGTAACTAGGCTAAACAACACATGCGGGTGTGGCGTCCTCTAATGTACTGAAGGTACATAAGACATAACTAAGTGGTGTATTGTAAGTTGCCTATTTACGGCGCCGCTTTGCGATCGTCGTTCTATAATTGAATATTGAATATTGCAACTTTTATTTTCTTAGCGTAAAATGTGAAAAAATATCAAATTTTGCATTGTTTTAAATTTACAATATAAATTATTATATTTAATTGTCACATCGTGGTAATGACTGATATTACGTATGTACTATTATGACGTGTCTACTGTCTATATTATATTATAAAATATAGTTTCTGTTAACAGGTACGTAGCCGGACATTTTCCTATAAGGGACCAACATTTTTGGCTACTCCCTGCTTTTTGTACCCTTGCCCCCTCTTCTTATAACAAAATCTATGAAAAAATACTACTTTCAACAATGTATTGTCTGAATTGGTTAATATGTTTAAGAGGACTCTAGAGTGTTATACACTTATACAGTTATACCCACATGTATTATCTTCGTGTTCCAAAATATGTACAACATAGCAAAAACTGTTTTGTCCGGGAAAGAACCGAGGAGGACACAGTCATAACTAAGAAATACAATTTTCACCACATAAAAAAGAAAACAGAGTCTGTGACGTTATGTTTTTTTTTTGATATTGGAAGTAAAAAAAGGGTTTTCAAGTTTGAAAAACACAAAAATAATAGATTTTGAAACAATACAAACTTTTATTATTAATATCAAAAAAAATAAAAAAGATATTTCTCATACAATGTTCTCAATTATATATTGTATATAAATTTGGATTCAACTACAGCCTGAGTGGTTCTAAGGTTTTCCAGTTTTCAGTTTATTATAAGACGTATTATTGTGGTAAATTGTAGGGTAATAAATATTTATGAAATCAAATCTTGGAATTCAATTAGAATTTTCGATTGTTAATTATTTTTATACAGAGATAGGTACTCTGTATAAAATATAATAATATATAATATATATCTGGGATTTCGGACAATTAAACTCCATAATATTTAAGATTTTAAAAAATAAAATTGAGGGGGCTAGTTCAGGGCTACTTACTTTTCTTAGGGAGCCAGGCGGCAGGGCCCTTGACACCCCCCTTGGTGGCGTGACTGTCTATAATACGATAGGTACAGTAAACGGGAGATGTCGTTTTCCCATTTCCCATAACACATTAACAGACTTGTGTATACTATATATGTGATATGTATATATATAGGGTTGCCACCTCTCCGGGTTTCACCCAGAGAATCCGGGTTTACGTATAAATCTACGGGCTCCGGGTTCTGAGAATTTTTCTCCGGGTCGGAGATAAAGATAAGATAACATACGATTTATAGTCTTAAATAGACTTGTTTTTATTATTATGCCTTTTTTTTTATTAGTTTCCGGTAAAAATTATTAAAATGTGCAACAAATAATGTTAAGTATGATTTTAAATTTAAATAATTTTTCTTGTTTGGGATTTCTAATCATATTTTTATAATATAGTTTGCAATTTTGAATGATAAAATATGTGATTACTGATTATATAAATATTTTTTTGTTTGCATTTCATTACTTATCATTTTACTTCAACTAAGCTATAGATTATAGATTATACTATGTACTGGTGTGTATACTAGCGTCTAGCGGATGACATTTTTTTTTGCTTATCGGCCTGTCTCTGGGGCTGCTTTCTTTCAAAGGTGGCAACCCTATATGTATAAGATATTAGTTATTATAATATTGTATAATACACCATAACTATTCACTACTCATCAATTTTAACAACTCTTTTATTAGCTAAACTTTACTTAAAGACTAGGTTTCTCGTTTGGCCACTTCTACTGTGCAAGTGTGCCACCTATACTCTTCTCGTTAAAAAGAATCCTCGGCGGCCAACCATGAGTAGGAGTACAGTAATTAGTGGGGATGGCAAACGGATGCTGCCTGACCACCACTTGATGAAAACTGGTCGCCGATATTCCTTCTTAACTTGAATAGAGTATAGGCACCGCAACAATGGTTATGACTAATGATTTGATCGTCTAGGTTTTGGTATGTCGACGTGTTACCCACAGCCCAAGTGTAGTAAAAAATACGTAATGTGCATTTACGATTTCATCGGATGTACAATATAATATTACCTATTATAATATACTAGTATTGTCTACCTATATTATGTCAAAGGCACCACGCACATTTTATGTGACGTATTAAATATAGGTAAATATACACTCGTCGGCTGTCTTAATGATCGTATAATGTGTATGTACTTAAAATTACGCAGTGTTATATAGTTTTACGTCTACATTTCTTTAAAAATGTATACACACACGACGTACCTACTATACCTTGACATAAAACTAATTACGTACTTAATATTTGTCATCGAATGATGTCGGATAATTAATACTATCTCTACGGATGATAATATTTAGTAGGTAAGTAGTTAGGTACTAGGCATTAGTACCACGGGTTGGTTTCCACAAGATGCGATATTACAATTCCTTTGGATTTAACGACGACCATTAAAAGTTAACGATGACGAAGAATTAAATTAGACACTAATTTATAGTACTTAAGCTGAAATATTATGTAGATATATACCACGCTAATATGCTTATTTGTTTTTCCTGTCAACGTGCCTATATCATATATTAATGTTCATATGTTAAAATTTCTCATTCTCTTAGACTTCGGTATTATTTCAATTTTCAATTACCTACCTATTAGGGTATTCGGCATTCAACACTCGTGGTGTACGAATAATATTTTTATATTACAATTTACAGGTAGACTTAAATAATAATTGTCTATTATTATGTTGTTTACGTTTAAAATAGGTTATCTAAGTATATATATATATATACACAATACATTACATTATTTAATATAATAAATAGTTATTATTTGCTGTGTAAATCATTACATAGCAATGAGAAAAATACTGATTGTATTAGCTGTGTCCTGTGTGACTGCTTAGCCGTATAGGTACATAACAATTATTAATTAATATTATAATTCTAATAATAGGTAACTATAATATCAATATAATTAGATTATTGTTGTTTTTTTCTTATTGCGTTTATTAAATGATTATTAAGCATTAATTGTTTAATATGATTGTTTTATCATAAAATAATGATCGTATATATTTTTCTTTAATAAATATTATTTATTTATATGTTATGATTATTTTGGATGGTTAAAGTAGCAATATGGAAATCGGCAATATGGTAATCGTTATATTCTATATATGTTTATATGAACACTAAAAGTAAAAAAAAATACTCAACAAGTTGGAAATTGATAGCTCGTCTATTTTCTGTTCACAACGTATTATAATTTTTGTATTATTTTTTAAATCTATAACTTTTAAAGTAATGATATAACATATACTCATGCATTGCTTAATATAGCTTTGAAGACGTTTTTAAAATATGTACTATGTACATAAACACAATTTAAGAGTACACATTTTTCAATTTTTGAAATTTATTGAATATAGTTAACAATCTTTGATTTTTAAAATAGTCCAAACTATTTTTGTGTCATCATCAAAATGAGGGACTTTATTACCTCACAGGAAGTGACAACCCCGAGGAATACCACAACATGTCGAACTAAAGTTACAAACCGGGCTTTGATTACTCAAATAGGTTTTTTTTTATCCAGGATAGAAGTGGTTTACCAATACTTATACGATCTACAATATTTATAAAAGAAGAAACAACAGTGATTTATCAAATAAAACCTCTAGAAATCAATAGAAGTTAAAAAGTGGTTATTGTTATTTTTATATATTGATCACTGGTGAAAAATATGATGAGTTTTATATTGCATTTATAGAGTGATTATTGATTACCTATTCCAGGATTATACCCATTGCCAATCAGGACCCGTAGTTTAATTTTTAATTGATAAAATGTTATTTTATGTTGTTGTCTCTACTACACAACCTGATTATCAAATATTTTGTATTTATTTTGTTTTGTTTTATTGTCTTTGGACTCTAGCCAGTTTTGTATAATATGTAAATGGAAATATATAAATATATTTAAAGCAACTTAGACTCTATATTTTACACTGGGTACACTTAAATAGAAGTTCAAATTTGTAATAGCAGTTTGGGTTAGCGTTTTGTACAGTTTGTAAGTACCTTTCTTCTTAGTCAAAATAATTAAAACTTCTACAAATACTCAAGACTGAAAAATCGGTTGATGTTTACCATATAGATAACATTTCGATATAATTACATGATAATGGTAGAAAAATTAATTTAAAAAAAAGAATTTCATTCGAACATCCTAAAGTCGTCCAAGTTTCTTAAAAATATGAATTTTATTCATGTTCACGGTGTATATGTTATTAGTGTCGTTTCCAAAATATGAACACGATAAATGAGCGTTCGATATTTCCAAACGCTGTGCAATAGTAGCTATACTTGGTAAGTTTGATCTGCATACTAAAATGCATAATAGTTTGTGACGATTACGATGATATACTCACCCTTTGTAGCCTAAATAGTATAAAGTATTCTACTAACTTTCGTTGCTAAGGTTAACAGTGATGTTTTTCCTGAAATTGAACCGATCCACGACAGACCTGAGTAAGTTAGCGATCATACCGGTGCCTTTGACTTTGATGTACAGGTTGTGGTGTCCTGTCTGGAAGTAATCGATTTTTGCGTGTCTCTTGATTACGTCTAATGCCTCGTAAAATACGATGTCCAATAAAACCAACGACGAGGCAGCGATAATTTCAAACACCAATTTTACCAATGATTTTAACTGAAACAGTAATACATGAATTGAACACAGTACCTACCTATACTATAATTAACCAAAGTACCTATTCAATATCTATATTAAATCCATATAGTCTTAGATTAATTTACGTTGGGACTATTCAGATTATTTCGCCTTCAATCGTTAAAAATATGTGGGAAAGTAGCTGAAGTAGGCAATCGATCCGCTGTAGGTACATTATGTGTCGAGTATATCTCTATAGTTACTTTACTTCGCCATTGAGTAAGTCATTGAAATTTATGTGTTGAACTTGAATTCAATAATACACCGTTACACACAAATAACGATTCTGAGCGAAGACTATTTGTCACCTATACATTACTCTATAGGTATATTTTAAGATATTTTAAGATAATATAATATATATTAATATTGCTATTATAATAATTATTTATTTTACCTTTAAGAAATACGGTGTGTTGAATCAATTTTCTCGATAACATTGCATTTTTAGATTATTAATATTAAATTACCTTTTAATCGAAAATGTCATTTTATAGTCATCAGTCATCAATTATAAAATATATAAGTGACATTTGGAGGTAAAATATGATGTAATTATACCTAGGATACACAAGTTGACCCACAGTTATTTTATTTCCAAATAACAAGCTCATAACTCGCGTAGCTAAAAATGTCTGGACTCCAATATTTCCCCCCTTGGATACACCCTTGCTATTGATAAGTTTGCAAGGAGATGATTATAACATATATAAATTATTATTACCATAACAATATCAAATATGTATCATAATATTATAGTTGATAAATTAATATTTACGATCATATAGGTCAATTGAATTCTATAATAGAAGTCATTCTACTGCTTACGACTATTATTATTAATATATTTACAACGTTTCAACTTGTACTTATATGAAGTCACTTTTGTAGTTTTATATATTAATATTTCGCTTGAAAATTCGTCCGATAAATCTATGTTTTTGTCGACGTACAACGGATATAACATTGTATAATAGTGTAGTGCGGGGTTTAAATGTTTGGTAAGTAAATTTGAGTCTATTCTAACCCGTAAGAAGTATCTTATATAATATATCCTATACCTAAGAGTTTTCAAGTTATAATATTATGTGAATATAGCATAATGTAATTGTTTGAGCATGATTCAATGATAACATTTACTTTAATTAATGGTTAGGTATTGCATATATTTTCAATTTCTGTAGATAAAAAGTTATTATAAATAATAATGTATTAAAAAGAAATTTAAAAAAAAGACATTGTTTATCATAATTAAATAGTTAGAAAATACAAATATATTTCGTACAATTCTTGGTTACGATGAAAAATGTATTCAGTCGTTATAGATATAATGATATTTTAATATTTTAATATGTATAAATTATAAATGTGTAATGATTTATAATATTTTGCTTGGAAATTTTTTGACAATCCATAATGGTATTATTATAATTTGATAACGGAAAGATACCCATGACACCGGTGTAGCTAAATTGCCTATCCTAGACGCCATGACATCATAGTTCGTATTATTAAAATGTCGAACGATGACTTGCATCGGGATCATACATTCATATATTAGCTTACGAGATAATTTAGTATCTTGTTATTTCCATCTTTAATCACTCCTCTTTAGTTTATATACACTATATAATAAAAAATCAAACTAAGTTATATTATAATATCTACCATTAATAAGTTTAATAAAAAATGTAAAGTGGTTAAAAATTGGGATACTTATTAAAACTAGGGAATAGGGATGAACCGGTACTGGTTCTCGGTTCTTCTATTTCAACGATTCTTTGAGAATCAAAAAAATAGGTTCTGGGTTTTCTCAGGCCACACTGTCTAATGAGTCTTTTTTTAATATCTGGGTTGATTTTTGGTAAGAATAGAACTACAACCACGTCCCGTCTATTAGTATAAGGTCCCATGCTCACAGGCATATAAAATAAACAATATATAGTTTATCATCTATATTTGTAAACAGACTAAAACCAAACAAAGCAAGGATACTGATATTTCTCAACAAAAATCTAAATACCTAAATAAAACATTTACTAAAATAGTTTAATAAAATATAAATAAAAAGTTATTAATAAAGTTCTTTATAAATGTATTATTTTATCCTTAACTCCTATTTTCTGTTATTTTTTCATAGTGTTTAGAAGAAGAATTGGTATCGAAACCGGTGTCGATTATAGAAAGTAAAATTTTAGGAACCGAACAAAAACCGGAATCGATGATTTTTTAAGAACCAGCCCATCCGTGTAAAAAACTGTTTTCGACAACTGGAGCAACCGCCTACCACCCACTTATCAAACTGAAATCGTATCAACTTTATATGCCATCCTATTTATATAACCTATTTTAATTCATACTTATAAGTACATTTATCCATTTCGGCGGTACATAAAACAATATGTATTACTTTCGTCTGGGTAGACTGAATTTACGGACGGCATAATAATTACTAATTACACTGAATTTAATTATGTTCGCGTGATTTGTTATATGTCGTTGCCGTAGTTTTATCACTTGCTTGTTTTTCTAAGAACAACAGCTAACATTATTTATTTAAATATTATCTCTCCCTTTTTTTTGTTGAGTTTTTGACAATATGTCTGTGGGAATCCGTATGGTTTAGTGAGCTTGGTTAAAGGTTTGAAAAATCTATCAAGAAGAAAAGAAATGTTGTAATTTTTGTAATTTAATTTTTTTTTAATCTCGTGCGATTGACACCTATGCACAATACTGACATAATTTATCATCGTAGCAGAAAAAAACCAAAACGCGTCAGATTTCTGTCTAAAAACAGCTTAAATTAGCACATAATATTAACTATTCCAAGTTTGAGATCGTATTAACGTCGCGAGGTTGTCATTACTCATTACGTTTTGGATTTTGTTAATTATAAACTTGAATGCGTTTAGTATGATGTCATAATAATAATATTGTTCCCTCATATTTGTGTGGTTGGGTTTGTTCGTCACACAAATACCATCAGAGTTTGTATTTAATATACGATTATAGTATTTTACATAAACGAGAGACTACAGCGTAGGATGTGTTTTAGGATAGGTTTAATCCGCAGTGACCGAAACATCGCGGTTTAATGTCAAACCTTATTCCAGTGTTACCTGCGAAAATCGGACTTATGTGGTGGTGGATGGTTTAGACTTTGGAATCAATGCAGTTTGTCTATATCTATAATATCAAAACACGTGATTTGGATTCAAACCGGCAGGTTTTTTATGAAACATCATTTCTCCTTCCTACGTACGTTCGATACGATTATTTATCCTCACGTCTCCAGCCTCTATCAAAACAATATGACTGGTCATTTGCAATCGTGCAATACTTTATAAAATGTATATTATTTCAATGTCACCACTGTTCGCTATTTTTTTTTTATATAGGAGTTGGTTAGGTTTATTTGTTGTGGTGTATTTACAAAGAGTCTGAAGAGTTGAGACTTTGTGTATATTGTTGTGGCAGGACTCGTGAACATATTTAACGGAAACTGTTCACTGTACACTGACGATTGTATTAGCTATCCTAAATAAAATTCGATAAAAATCGAGTAACTAATTATTTAAAATTTTATTTTATATGCCCGAGTCCGAATTTTTGTCTTTTGATTTTTTAAAACATCTTTAAATAATCTAGAACCATTTGATACAGGCAGACGTGCTAAAATCGGTTGATTTTTATATCGCTATAATGTATATAGCAGTAGTGGTAAAAAATTGTAGTCATGGGGAGAGATGGAGCTAGCTGATTTTTCAACATGCATGCTGTGTACTTTGATCATTAAAAACATAATCATTTTTTAGTTAAAAGCACAAAATAAAAAGTTATTTAATATAGGTAATATACGTTGATCAGTTTGATTTACCAGTGTATTTATAGCTAATACTACACATTTACACTTGGTCTTGTATTTACAACCACCGATGAATCTTCAACTCTATTTTTAAACATTACTCATATTATTATAGAAACGTTTTACTTATTCGATTTTGGGTTTATACCTTTAAACCTATACGATTTAGTTAGGTGTCGTTTAAATTACGCGCGTGAGGCTATACTTGTTTATGGGGTAGCCGAACCGAAACTAAATGGAAAGACACAAAAGTGAAAGTGAATGTACCCACCAGGTGGTCACACTCGCGGTTAACAAGTTTGTAGCTCCTTAAGTCGATCGTTTTGCTCTTTTCGGTCTTTTTGAGGGGTAGCAACGTGTGCTTGCCAGTCTTTTTGCGCCGGGCGTCGATCTTCCGGTAATACCGGGTCACGTACGTGTTGTCGTGTTCGATGTCCGTCAGGTATTTGTGCATGTAACTCTGACTGCTGCAAACAAAAACGACGAAGAAAATAATAATTATAAATGATCGCGTTTTCGTAGGCGACGTTGACGCACTCACTCCAACAGAATTTTGAGGAACGAAAACGCCAGCAGACGGCGTATGCATACGAACACAAACTCGGCCGTCCGTCTTTTCTCCCGGAAATCTATCATCATGTCCCTGGTTACGTCGTAAGCGTCCCGAAATTGATCAGACTGAGTGTCGTAATATGGACAAGGGCAAAAACACGACAACGGGTGCGTTAATCTTTACGAATACTAAAATACATTTATTATACCGCTTATCGAGGGGACAACTCATGCTCCTGCGTTAAGCCTCATTACGCATAATAAGATAATAATATCACGTTACACACACACACACACACACAGTATACTTATATTTTGGTAGTATATCGGCCTTTAATTATGAGTATGACGACCTAAAGACGTCAGACGGTTTTCGATGACGGGTGCTGGGGATTTGCGCAGTTAAGCCTCAATCCCAAAACAATATTTAGCGCGAAATATCACGATAGCAAATCCATTAAGTTCGACATAATATTCAACCTAAAATAGGAGCGGAGTATAAATCTATATGGGTTAATTACCGTCTTGCAGGAATACGTTCACATTAGGCATAGATAATTTTTGTCAATGTTAAAGTTTTTGCGTATACATTTGAGGTTCGCACGTAACCGAAACATCAACTACAGCTGCCTTGATGAAATTAACATACTGTTTGTGATTATAAATCGCAATCGTTTTTTTTTATCGGGGAATAATTGTGCGCTCGAGAAGATAAGCGACCGGAAATCTACGATGACCTCCGACCGTGATATTTTGAAAGCAAAAGCAATTATAGCTTGTACAGTGAAATTTGTTTTCACGTTGTACAGGAAAATTATTATCTCAACATGTAATAATAAATAAACGAAAAAACTATTATGAAATGCTATACATATAAATTAAACATATATACATATAGCTTATATACAGTTTTAATGACGTGATGAATAGATAAAATATTATTGGCACATTAATTAAATGTTTGTATGTATGTGTTAGGTATTGTAAAAAAACATTAATTTTTAGACACCTAATAATAACGTGTGCTCATTTTTAGATTTTAAATTTTATACTGTTTGGTAACAGCCGGTAATTAAATTATTTATTGAAAATATATTATATTTATTTGTTTGATACTTGGTATTATATTTGTATTATATTTGGTGGTCATGGAAACGAATACAAAATATAATTCATATTATTGAAGCATGTTTTTCATAATCATTATTCACACGTCTTAATAAATAAAATATCCTAACACGAAAATAATTGTAATGCAGTAGTTTCAGTAGCGAAAAAAAAAAATTGGCATTTGATCACCACATCGACTAGCCTTAATTCCAATATAATTATTATCATCTCGCGGCAGACGTCTCGACCGCAGTTCCACCGGTTACAGCCGCGAAAATGGAGATATTAATAATGCAGTGGCAGAAACGGTTATTTTGGGTTATCGTTGTGTTCGAAATGTCCAGAATAACAGCGGATAGACATTTTAAATAAATAAACGAGTTTTTCGAAATTGGAATAAAATGTCTCCGTTCATTTTGCACACGATGTTCATTATTTATAGAGGTACAATGCCAGGTATACGCCGCGTTGGTATACCTTATGTACCTGCGTTGCAGTAAATTCCTCTGTGAATTACGAATGATACAAATGTTTTTCTTTGGCCAACGTGATGTCGTTATACGCGTATACTTTATACGAATCAGTGTCTCCGGCTCCACTTCCTACCCCGTCCAACCAATTGTAAATCCATACCGAACCTAAGCATTGGTTTCTATTCGGATTTTATTTAGACAAAAATATGTTGGTATTCCTACACGTGTTACATGTCGTAAACCACCGTTTGCGTAGGTACCTATTTGTTTCTTATTCATTCCCGAGTCCCAGGCTGCAGTATGAACACGGCGCTTAAGTCGAATTACTCGCAGATACATTTTATAATAAATTCAATAGCATAATACTTGCGGATAATGGTCTCAGTATAGTATATGCGTTCAATAACCGATCAATGCACAATATGAACAATTGTTCTGACGGCTTGGAAGGGTTTATTATTATTGTTATTGCCGATGGACAGCAGTCGGTAATTTGGGCGAATGTGATTATTATTTTAATTTAATTCAAAAACTTGTTGACCATTTGTGCGTGAACGCAGTTGTAGACCGTTTGAGTGAGAACGATACGCATCGCTGGGCATTCGAAATCCATTAGATTTAGGAATTTAGTTCGCATTCACAAGATTAAACGCTCACATTTTTTCATTTACTGTGCGACTTATTGAGATTGGTTTTTCATAGCGATTTGGCGTACTTATTTTTGATTTAAACTACTCCGGCCGAGCAAGTGATTAGTTCTTAAGCGCTAAAAGTAGTGTCTATGAAAACGGGGAGGACGATCAATGTCAATCGAACGGTATACGTGATCCTCGGTTGAATATCACGTGGACGGTATATAAAGTATAAACCGCTTACATTTGCTAAAACGGTTTATCTCTCTCAAGGTTAGATCGGCCAAATGTGTAAAAACTTAGCCACCCCCTCCCCCCAAACACCACCATAATAAGATGTGCAGATTTGATTGTAAAATTAAATTTGGTCATCTCTTAATTTAAATACTATTAAATGGATGATACGTATAATATGTATATTTATACCTTGTAAAAGAAAATTGATTATTTAGGCATATGGCCGTAGTGGCTGAGAGAAAGCAATCAAAAATGTAATTTGCCTACATCTATAAATAACTAGAATACACCTCAACTCGCCTCCTCACGATGGCAACGCGTGTAGAACAGTTGAGTAGCGTAAGACACCTGCTCTATATAGAATTATGGTCTAACCGAATGAGCTGACATTACCATTATTTTCACTTTGTTCAACTTGTAATTGACTTTTACGTGCAGGAATTCTCGTTTTAATTCGTCCTTGGACTTTGTCAGGTACACGTATCCCTTGCCAAAACCGGAATTTACCGATTTTCCAGAATTGCACACGTCTCCGCCACCAAACACTGCATCACGATAACACATTAATATGGTGTAGTGTAAGTATATAATGATTCCGCTGGCTGAACACTCGTATCCAGTTCCCCCATGAAAATTAAACTCTAAAAATGTTTATATTAATAGGTACCATTAAATTTGATAATAGATTAATTCACTGTGATGTTAAAATTTACAGACTGAAATGGATTATTCTGAATGTAAAATATGCTAAGCGTTAATTAGACGGAGACAACGCAATAGTGAGTAAAATTTCCTCTTAACAAAAAATTAACATATACTCGACTATCATTAAAGTTTTATTACCCAATTTAATGGGTGATGATTGATAAAAAAGTTATGTACAACTATTGTTGAATTATATTTATATATTAATCAAAAAATTATTTGATGAAAAATCTCGTAAGTAGTCGGTACTATTTATTTATTTGAATTTGTCATTTGTATACCGTCTAATATTTATATTAGTGAGTTTTGTATTGGCAATAATGTTATTATGACGTATTATTCTTTTCAAATAATATACAATGGCAGACGTGGCATAATTATTATTATATTTACCTAACTAGGCGTGTGGTTCTTAAACACGATGTATCGCAATAACCGACAGAGGGATGAAAAAAAAATGATGCAGTTTATCCAAAGCTTTACTCACGAGGTGCAAGGTTGCAGACGAAAGTGACTTGCATGGGCCAGCACAAGGCCCAGTTCACGGACCAGTGTACAGAGTTCTTGCAAGTGTCGAAGCTGCTCTGAAACGCTGCCTTGCACTTGTCGTCTGCCCGGGTGATGATGCCTGCAAACGATATTAATAATAATAATAACCACAACTACGATCACATGACGTAAAACATAGTAATCATTCGCTAAACCCTGTACACCACAACATCGCCGAGTAACGTTCGGCTCACATTTTTTTTTTAAGAAAACGAATCCAATCTACAAACGAAATGTACAAGTATTAGTTGCAAAAATCGAATACAGCCGCACGATGTTTCCTAACCACCTCCAGCAGTGCCCAGATCGAAACGTCAAGAAGAAGAACCACTCCGTCGTTGGTGAGGAAAAATTCGAAAAACAATTATTATAGTCACGCGCCATGTCAACATAAATTATATAGATATTATTGGAATTGTATAGACCTTTACCGTCTCGAAGTTTCCTCGAAAACATTGTAACGATACACGGTGGTAGGCAAATGTGCACTTTTTGAAAGTTGATAACGGCTTTTCTATTATCCCTTATAAATATTAGATTACGAATGTGATAATGTAGATATCACCGATCGTTGACGAGTGATTACCACCAGCTAGACTCTCGATGTTATACGTTCGAATATAATTTGATATATGATTGAGCATTTAAAAGTTCTAAATTTTTGGTGTTTGGTTTCCTGCAATTTTCAACTATATACGAGTAATTGGATTGTATATTTTGCTATAATATATTGAATGAATAATTGTTGTTTGTTTTTCACACATCACTCGTAGATGCTGATATTATATTATATACACTGTGTTTGTTTTGCTTACTACGAAAATGCAACATAAAGTAATACTTTAAACTTTAGAATTTGAATACTATACCAATGCCGTTATGTTGTAAGGAATATAGGACTATAGGAGTATTATAGGATACGACAATTTTATTTCTATAGACTCGGCGCGTAGTGGTATATTTATTGTTTTTCGTTTTCAGTTTAACGTCTCAAAATTGTTATTTTTTTTATTGCTCCTTTTAAACTGCTATTAGGACGAAAATTTATTACATAGCCTGCAATCCTCATTTTAACTGAAATAAAAAAAGTAATCTAAGTATAATTATTATTACATTCAGATCTTGAATTTTTATTCCTCGGCTATTACGTATAAACTATAGTAAAATATTAAACTTATTTTTGTAATTACATTTTGCAGTCTGAAAATTATACATAGACTAGTTTGTTTCCCGAGTCTAGTATTGTAAACGTCACACCACCGTACAGTTCATTTGTATAATATGTTTACTAACCTTTGCACTTTCTGCGCAATTTATCTCTGTACTTTGTTTCCACTTCGCTTGGCTCCGGAATCTTGTACATATTTTTCGTATGCTCGGACGATTTTGCATTGTTCATTTTTGTTGGTCTCTAATACAACAATACAACAATGAGCAATCAGCTGAAGCCTCCGGGTTTGAGTCATACGCAGGATAACATTTAATTAAGTTTCGTTTGAAAACGATTAGATCACGATATAATCTGTTTGTGATAGGTACCTATATTGTATATTAATGCAAAGGAAGCCCACGTATATTATTCATAGGATTGGGGGTGAAGCTCGTGTTAGAAAAATGAATAAGTATAGAGTATGTAATACGAAAAAGATTATGAACTTAAAAGTTTTTTTTTTATTAATGCAAACAAAACATTATACACATTATAATTATAATTTGTGGGATAAACTGAAACACAAAGAATATAATAGGGAACAATAAAATATTATTTTAGCTCCAATTTTTATTTATTGTCATTCACCGTCGATATCTTTATTTTTGGACACCATAATATAACAAGATATAGTCAAATACCACCGTGTAACATTGATTTACGAGAGAATGATTAAAAACGCTTGTAATCTAACAATTTCATAAATGCCAAAAAGTCTAGGAGAGATGATTAAATTATAATTTTTGTACATGAGAATCAGAAGGATCTAAATTCTAAGTCTATATTAATAAAAATTAAGGTTATGAAGTTTTCTTACGCACATTTTTGATAGTTTTTTTTGTTGATTTAAGCATTATATATTTTTTGAAAAATTAGATTAAAACATAATGGTCTAAGTTTGAAGTGGTCTTCACTTCAGTGGAATATGGTCCAGCTCCACATTGTTTGGATTTAGATCCTTTACCAATAACGGTGTAGTAATTGGTAAAGGAAAATTGTAATATAACGTATAATATGTTAATAATTTTATTAATACTTAAGTTATTATAATAGGTATTTAAACAATTTATATAGATAATGAAATTAACCAAAAAATAAAACAATAATGATATAAATATGAGATTTTAGTTGTTTGGTTCTCCTGAAAAGTTAAAATATAGACTTTAGCCCTTCTGATTTTCAGGTACAGTCGCACTGAATACAAATATAATTATAAATAATAATACTATGTAGTACACAAAATAAAATAAAATAAAATAAATCGTGACATCAGTGACAAAAAGTTGCCGGCTTTTGTGCCAGTCAGATTTTGAATAATGGAATTACGTTTTAAAGTTTTAAAGTATTAATAATATGCCGTAACGTTTTTATATGATAAAATAAAATACCCAAACGTGGTACTATATAATATATATATTATATATTATTTATAATTGTTTTTAATTTAAATTTTTATAGTGCAGAAAAACGTGAGAATTTTTTGTTTGGAATTCGTAGCCCTTTGTAAATAAAATATTTAATTAAAAATAAAAAGTACTTCTACTCGTTGCTGTCGTGAGTTTGCTTTGATAATCGTATAGGTAAGTACCACCTATGTATAATATACGATTTTTTGAAATTGCATTTACAGACAAAATGAGAATACGTTTCGTAAACCGGGATAACTTGCTATGGTTATACATAAACAGCCCAATTGATAATATTATATTTGTGTGTGGATTGTGGATATATATTACATACACACACACACACACACACACACACATATATATACAATAAACATATTATATAAGTGATAATGGATAAATTATATTGTGCCGCCGATAAAATTAGTTATAATAATCGGATGTAAAAACTGAAAACACAACACCTGCTCAAAATACCACGGCTGAAAAGCGAAATTCGTGAATGTTTCAAATGTTATTTGTAGAAGTGTTTACTGTAAGCAATATACACTCGGACAAAATACAATATTAAACACTTGATTGCTTAAAAAAAAAAAAATGTTTATCGCTTTAATTGTGTGTACGAGCTTTCAAGAAGAGGACGCAACGTATAAAGGACTCGTTTAAATCCTCCCAAAATGATATCAAAATAGCAATATTATTTTATATATTGCTATGTTTATTTTGTAACAAACCATTTCCAAATCGTCTAAGTAGTCGTTTCTCTCGTGTAGTTCGATACTGTCGCTGTCTGATTCAAATTCCTGTCGAATCGGATCTATCACGTCGTTGATGGAATTTATGGTTTCTTTTATCTCGTTTGTTTCAGCCTGCAAATATTTACAAACGTAATGAAAATAATGTTAATATTAATTTACAGCCATAGGTATATGACGTCACAACCTTAACATCGTAGAGATGAAATTACGCCGTGGTATAATAGTGTAATATTTTGTGACGACGATTAAAGTATTATATTTTGAGTACGGCGTTTGTTTTTCAACGGATAATTTTTAGTATTTTTGGTAAGTATCGAACGTAGGTAAATATTATAACAATTAAACGTAATTACTAAATATAGAAAATATGAGAAAGTTAATTATTGTTAAAAGAGCGCTGATATTACATCATACTATTAGCTCTAGGTTTATTTTAATTTAATTTTAATTAGGTACGATTTTCAATCGTTTTACAACATTGATCAAAAAAAAAAATTTAAATGTGATAAAGTTTTATCAGTAATTTATTTTACTTCATAAATTATTGAACATTCTATAAGGACTGCGGATTTCAAGTAGGTGGGTTTAATAATATGAAAATCAATAATATTTTATGCTATATGATGAAAGTAGTTGTGCATGAAACAATATATTGATGCATTGAGTAAATAAATTATAAACCGCATACATCACTAAGTAGGTGAGTAATTATAGGGTTTTATGTTAGAAAATATTAAACCACGCCACAAACAAAATTAATTAATTCTAAAAAGTAATAGAATTTATTCTGTTTATTAATAATAGTTCATTATCAATATTCGATTAAATCATATTTTTCTTGTGGAGAATATTTTGTGGCTTTTAAAAATGAGAAATTTAATTTTAATTGATTTATAATAGGAAATGTTGCAGTTTGAAGAAAACTAATTTATAATATTTTATAGCGTATAAATATAATTCAATATCTGCATTTTGATGAAAAAATATATTATATGGGGTGGCTGTGAAATAAAATTTGAATTGCATTCGACAGACAATTACATTTTCTTGGGATCCTCATATACGTTGTTATAGCTCGTGCGTCATATGGATTTCGTAAAAATCAACAATATAATTTTATTTCATATATTGTTTTTTTATTTTTAATATTACAATCTATGTTAGTCTATATTTTATTGAGGTTATTCAAGAAAATTAATAATCACAATATTTAAACTCGTGGGTCTAGGTAATAATGTGAGAAAAATAGCGATGATAAAAATGTCCATAATGTCCAAAAAATATTTTATAGTGGTACCTATACAGACACAATTTACATAATCTTACTTTTATTTGACAAAATGACTTCACTCATTGTCGAATTAATTTCAAAGTTTTAATTTCATTTGCACAAGAAAATATGAACAAAACCAAAATGTCTAGTTGTAGCACTTGTTTGTGTATAATTGACATGAGCAATTCGTCAGTGCATGTAATTAGAGGTTGGTGATCCAGATCGCGTATTTCGTCCTATCTAAAGCGTTATCTTAGATATTAGATTAAAGGATCTCTAGGTAAATTACGATACTGTAAAAAAAATAATTGTATCGTCTCTAGACAATACTAAAAATCGTATATACGTCTGATATCAATACGGCTACACGATTTTTAATACACTGTACGTTTACCGTAATAATAGCATAGGTTCGTATCATATACAATAACTTTATATAGTATGGCAGTCATGTGGCGTAGACGTTTAATTATGATTATGTTCTGGAGGAGGATGGATAATTTTTTAAATAAACCTGATTTAGATGAGAAATCCAATCGTTTTCGTTTGATGTCAAAAGGTGTACAGTATACAGAATTACAGACCTAACCGTATCGCGTCGTACATCATCGTGAATTCGTAAAATACTAAATTAAAAAAGGAAATTCTTAAACAATTAAGAATACGTATATTTTATTTATATAGAGATTAATAATATTATAGTATAATTTGTATTTATTTGTAAAATATTTAAAATTAACACTAAAATTGTGCAATAACACATAATTTGTGAATTTATTTGTCAACATATTTAAAATAAAATTAGTATCAGATTATTCGAAATTAAATGAAACGTATACTTATATCAAAAACTTTTCGTGGTTTAGACTACATAAAAATAGTTATTTAAATTGGGATCCGTTCCCTACGGCTTACATAGGTATCACTGATTTTTCACTTATCCAATTTTAATTTGACCATTTTCGTACCTGACCTAAAATTTTTTTTTACTTACAAGAATGAATAGCTTGACATTTTTTTAAAGTCGTTATTATTGATAATTATGATTATAGATTCAGTGTAAAATAACCAAATATAAATTATAACAACTAAAATAATAATCAGATTTGTATAGACAATTTTAAATATTGATGTATCATAAATCTATACAACTCAAAGATTCGAGTAATTCAACGATTAGATATTCCATTATTATGTGTAATACAGGATAAATTTAAATATATAACATATATGGAGGGGATTTAATGAGTATTAAGAGTCAGACTAAGAAGAAAATATAATATATATGTATATAATAAACCTAACCTGAAAACAGTGTATTAATGTTGGTAAATTTTAATTATATTTTTGTTTCAGACATGTAATACCGATTAAAGTTAACAAAATAAACAACAGTTGACAAAAAGATAAAAATAAAAACACTCGTTTACACATCGAAAATCAAAGGAGCCGTTTGTATTAATTATAACTAACAGTAGCAGAGAGTGGTTTTTGTGATTTTGGGTGAATTTTTTTTGTGCCCCGGGATGTCTCGTTCGTATTATGTTTAAACTTTGGTCTTGCGAAATATGCATTGGTTCTACGTACACATTTTTTATCCCATGCCTGCATTCATTGTCTACACACATACATATTTTTCAATAATAAACATACTAATTATACTTTAAATAATATACTTTTAGCTCGCACATTTGATACTGAGCCGTTAGAGATAAGAAACGACTAGACGCTTTAAACTTTTACTCAATTTTTGAGACGCATTTGCCTCGAACGCTTCCTCTGAATATTATAATGTACATCAAACGGAATAATAATGTTTTATGTAGTATTGTAGGATAGTGGTAATAGTATATCGAAGGGATAAAAACCCATTATTCACTAAAGAAATGCATCCGGGCCGAGAGCCAACCCGGAATATTTAACATCCGTCGTACTTTTTGTTGTATTTTTTATTTTATTAAGTTCCCGGAAAAACTGAGATATTAGAATCGTCGTCGTACACGTAAACGTGAATTGTATAGCACGGGAATTTATATGGGGTAATATTGTAAGTTGTAACAGAGTCTATGAAGTTTTCACTTATAGTATTACAGTATTGTAATAATAATAATATATCAGATCGACATACACTCGTAGGTTACAACTTTTTTGAAAATAAATATACAAAAGTTATTTTTAATGAAATTTATATTTGAATTCTAAAAATTCTGTAATTCTACAGAATAAAATTTATAATTTACAAGTCATAAAAGAAACTGAAGTACTTTTGAGAACAATTTCAACCAAAAATAAATAATATTTAAAGTAAAATATTTAATTTCAGTCGTTTCAATGCCACACAAATACAAAATAACCACGAAAAAAAAGTTTACTGGAAAGTCAAATAATTTTTTTATGAGAGTTCGAAGTTAGACTACATTGGATATTCACTCCTAAATTAACAAATCCTCATGGAAAATCTCAAAAATAGTCAAACACAATTAATTTTTACACACATTTTAAGCTTAAATTATAATAAAATTACCTATTAAAACAATATTATATTCTTGGGTACTCGAAATTTTTAGCTTAAATTATTATACTTAATACACTCAATGACATTTTCAAATGCAAGTTTTTCTGCAAAAATGAATTTAACCTAACTTACCGTAGTTCTAATGCCTAATAGACAAAAAATTACTTTAACCGTAGTAATATCATGAAATATACTTAGTTATATTATAGGCTGACTTTCTTTCTGAGCCGTTTTTGCTCAGATGTGTTTTTCGTATACAATGATTTTATATCATTAAATTCAAATTTAACACATCTATTTCAGCGAATCATTAGAGACATAATGTACAGCAGAGCATTACCCACTTATTTGCTTTTTTGAAAACCGATTTTATTGAAAATAAAGTTTTTTTATCACCACGGTGTATTTGCATTCACTTAAACAAAATAAAGCACATAGTATGCGATACACATATTGCGGGACTTACATGTAACTGGTTGCATGTAAGTATATGTTTACAAGTCAGTGATTTGGGTACAGATGATTTAATACTAGTATAAGAAGTATTAAATTAACTGCAAATAATCGAATTGCTTATACTCTCACAAAGGTTTTGCAAAAAGAAAACCATGGCCCGGACGGAAGATCAATCAATGTCTAGCACACAATATGAAACAGCGAATGGTGGTAGACACGATTCGAGTTTTACACTTTGAAAGAGCAGGTGGGTTAAATTATTTTCTCTATAGCTCAGTTTGGTCGATTCGATAAGTGAATTATATAAGTTTTTGTACATTCCCCGTAGAATTTTAGCCATTAAAGTAATGAATAACGTGTTTTTCTTATTGTGTATGAATTATATTTTGGTAAAATCTGCTTAGTTCAAAGATTTAAATATATACAATTTATCTGACGAACGATTATTAATTTAATAAAGAGTTTCCACCTATCGCGGGGCACTTAAACCCGAACTTAAAACATTCATTTATCCATTTCGCCGTTTCAACAAGTATGAAAATATCAACAATAATGGGTATTGATTTGGTTATAATATAATAAATTAATAAACGATTTATTGTACTTTATTACAGTTATTATTACAATTTATAAGAAAGTTGTTCATTGTTTTATTGTTATTACGTAATAGTTATATAATATACTGTTTTAAAGTACAAATGCAGGAAACATACTCATGTTGTTTTTATTACAGTTGAATAGTGTATTAAATTCAATATTAGAACAATCCATGGATGAGCCTCTCGTTACCCAAACCTTTACTCTGTAGGCTGGAAGATCCGGTTACAGCAAGTACACTTACTCAAATAGATTATTGAGTATATGTACGATTTGGCCACAAACCCTCTATGTTATAGTATTACAGTTGTGCGTATAAATTTAATTTTATGAACTTTGTTTGTCTTTATTATAGGTTATGTTATAGATTTTTATAATAATTAAACTACTATAATTTATAATGATGTATATACCTTGAGGTTGAATAGCGCTTCCTGGAAAGGTTTGAACATGAGTTCATATCGGATCTTGGTCAAATTATATACCAGCGCGCTGGAACATGTGAACACTCTGATCACTTCCGACCCGTTTCTCATTATGTTGTTCAGAGGGCCGGCCATTACGTACGCAAATACCATGGTCACAAGTACTCGTTGGCCGGACTTGTCACAGAATGTCGGCATCGCCAAAAGTCCCAAACACCGAACCTGTACAACATATTATAATTTAATACATTTATAGCAGCCGTCCCTGTGACGTTTGAATTTTTTTATTTATTTATATTTCTATAAAGTCAACGTTATTTATTGTTTGAAATAATTTAAGCATTAAAACATGAAACATGAAACACAATATGCTTTCAATGTATTTTTTTTTTAAAATTATTATTATTTATAGAATCCACAGGTGGCAAACAGCAGTTGCTGTCACTTTTTTTTTACAATGTTTGTTTATTTGAACACTGACAAGTAATTAATAAGTGAAAGCTGTGAAATGAATATTTGCTTAGTCGTGGAAAAATAAATTGATACTAAAAATGCCCAAAAATACATACGTTTTTGAGAGTGCTCGGATCCTTTAAATCCGAAATAAGCACTGCATTTAGGTGAAATGTGTTTCTATTAAGTATATTTTACTTGAAATGTGAAACTTAATTGGTAGAATAAATGTAAATATTCTCGCTATTGCAATTCGCGATGTGTTGAACGCAGTATGTATAAAAGTTTTTAAGCATGTGATATCACAATAATATAATTATAGCAAATGTTGAAGCATAGAAGTATATGCGAGGTAAAATATATGCATTAAAATTTAGAAATGAGTAATTACATAAAACTTAAAAAATAAACTAACATGGTGCCTATATATTATATTAGGAAAGAAACACAATTTTTTCGAATCTGTTCTTCGTGCTTCAAATTAATAATACTATTACAAGTACAGCAAAATTAAACACAGTAAAAGAGCTATTATTTAAAAGAAAACGAGTTTTTTATTCATGTTTGAAAATATGAGTTTTATATTAATAAGTATGATTAGTAAGTTGTGCATAAGCTATTTATTTTTTATTGTTATTTATTAATATTTTATAATTATTTAAAAAGTTAATTTAGCATGCTTTTCTAATTTTTAGTGCATAATTAAAATATACATATTCTAGTTTATAGTGGTTTTTCTATTATGAAGTATGAGACATAGCAATATTATTTTAATATGGTACCTACTTATATTAAGTTTTTGCCTCGTGGTGTCAAGAAAACATTTAATTTTATGTTATTACTTATTCTGCACTGTAGAAGTTATTATTCTTTATTATTATGAGACTCAAACATTTTGAACTTCATTCCTATTCATACATAAATAACAAAAGCATTAAGTCTATAAAAAAGTTTAATATTCTATTACTCGTGTAAGTACAGAAACATAAGTCATTATTTTATTTAAATACCGAAATGTTGAATCAAACAAATGTATGTATTATTATTTTTAACTGACCAGATAAAAACCTATTTAATAATAGTACGGTGTGGAAAGAACGTACTGAACAATATTTTTTTCTGGTGCGGGAAGGAAAACGGATCAGCATTACTTGCCAATATACTTAGTGTTAACTCATGTAAGGGCCGAGGCATGTGACTCATTAAGTTTCAATCATCCGCAACTAAAAGAAGTGTGGTAGCTGTTTGTACTAACTGTTTATACTAAGACGTTAAGTATATCAATAAAGAAATAACAGTAATCTAATATCAACACCTTTAAAATGTTAGAATTAAAAACCGCCACTGCAGTTAGTATGCATAATTCAGATGTAAGTATGTATATTCTTATAACAAATGAAAATATTAAAATAAATATATATCATGGATTAAAAATTAACACCCTTGGATAACATAAATCCGACTTAATTTCACCATTTGTAATATTTTAAGGTTTTTAGTTTTTTATTATTTTTTTTTTTAATACGATTTGTTTAAAACAGAATTAAACTATTTTTAAATGAAAATAGCTTTATGCGTTTTAATAAAATAATGTTACAACTCTGAATTTGAAGGGCTCTTGCTATATTTGCCATTTTATTGCGCATTAAAATTATAATATTCATATTGTATTGATGCGTATGATGGTTAATATTCCACAAGAGCTTAAGAGACGTTTTATTTGCAACGATTTTATTTATTTGGATTTTCGTTACAAGTGGACCGTCTTCTCACTACTCTTATTATGTGGACGTTATTGAGAATACGTTGGTTATTAAAATTCGTGACAAAATGTCAATATGTTTGCAAAGAAAAGTAAATTGTCTGTCTCAACATCGTTTATATATTTTGATTTGATAAAGCTTGTATTTTTTGAATGTCTATACTCTATAGGTACCTACTTGAAAGAAAAAAATTCACTTTGAATTATTTATTTATATGACACGTGTCACATTATTGAGTAAATATACACTATATTGATCAGTATAATGTAATATTCCAACATTATTATAATATTTTATAATGTAAGTTCTATGTACCTACATCGTACATACGAAATTACGAACTTGTGTAGAACACAGACACTTCGGAGGTGTCTGCCAGGATTGTTTTAAGATTAAAATATTCTTTTGGTCCGATTTACTTAAAGTCACAGTTTTTTTTATATAATATATGGAAAATTCACAGGATTAAAATAATATATTGTTTTGTTTTAAATCGTGCCCAAACCATGGATCTTCTATAAACCACTTTTAAAAGCTAATAATTCATTGCCAAAACCAAACCTATGTAGTTGATACCTTCTATAATATACGTTGTCAAAACATTAGGAAACCATAATATTAAACTATGATGTTGGGTCCCAACCTAAATCTGAATAAAATCAGTATTTTTAGTATTCTTGGTCACGTAGATGTTGACTACAACCCACAGGCAGTTAGATTTAGACAGTTTATTCGTAACTTAATATTTTCTGAATATAAATGCAAAGTGAATTTTTCTACGTGAGATAGCTACTCATTTTTAAGTAGATTTTGTGCTTTCGAAAAAAGGGAATTTTTCATGTTATGTCAGTATTATATATTTACTATCCACCAAACTTTTATTTTTTTTTTATCAAGTGCTCACTCTATTTGATGTCCGATATAACTAATACGTTAATATTTATAAGAATTTGAGGATGAGAGAAAACGAGACAGGTCGTTTATCGCCATTTTATGGGATGTACTTTGTCTAGATATTCCTCCATTGGCTCTATTTATATTTAAAATTTAATTAGTTGTATAAGTATTTAAATATTAGTTTAATATTTTATATCAACATTTATATTTTGGTTCCAAACATGCAATTAAATAGTTTTCTAATTTTTTGTGCACCTGAAAACATATAAAACCGCTATAATACCATAGAGTATTAAAACATTTTGTTTTTTGTTGTTGTTACAATGTAGTGACTAGTGAATATTATTAAATTGTTAAAAATATTAAATGCATAAAATAAAATGTATAAAAATGATATTTAAAAATTAAAAATGTAAAACTCAGGAATAACTGTATTACCTAGAATACTTTATTCAATAGCTCCGTTAAAATGTTATAATATTGATGTTATTCATAATTACTCTAAAATTCAGTTTCGGTCAAATGATTTTATCATTCCCCTCCCCCTGGATTTGACTGATTTTTTTATAACATGCACTATTTGGTTATTGAAAATATAATAATGATTAGATCTTAAACATTGAAAAAAGGATATGTGGGAGATCTATCATTGCCCCCCCCCCGCTTCCCACCATCGTTTAACCGCTGTTGCTAGAATTATATAAAGTTAATAATGAAAATACGTGCAATATCTTCGTAAATTTTGAGTAAAACTTAGCTATTACCGAACGGTCAACGGAACACAAGAGGTATATGTAATATATATTATTATTAATTATGTTATATCGAAAGTATAGTTATTATAAATATCAATCTATTAAATGTTAAACATCGACGCGTTGACCGCAAACGGTCGATTACAAACGATCTAGATTTGATTTGTATCGATTTACCTGTTGTGAAATGGCGTGGCCGATGCTCAAAAATAGACTGATAATGATGCCCATTAGGTGAGTGGTCTGATTAGTAAATTCTAAATCGACAATTACAAAATGGTAGAGAACTGAAAAAAAAGACATGTTTAATTTGCAAATAAAAAGTCGGTTTTACTTATACTCAGGCTCAGGAAAAGTCCATAGAAGAAACCCAGAATAATCTTGGACTTTCTGAACTTTTTACTTCGGCGGTCAGCTGTTTAAAAAATAACACCATATTCAATGTTTATGTCTTAACATTAATAATTATAATAATTATAGTTATAATAATAATAATAATAATAATAATAATAATAATAATAAGAATAATTATAGTAATAATATGTTGTTAGAAGAGCTTAAAATTAAAAGTATTATTTTGAAACAATGTGATGCATTACAGTATAATACCACACTCAACGGCTAAAGTAAGAGGACTTTGGGCAGTGATTAATGGGATGGTTGTCGTGGAAATGGTGTCAAATCAAAAATGCCATCTATTTGAAAGACTGGAGACAATTTATAAATCTTTCATTTTTGTTATAATTACAGTTTTAACACCGTTATCACAGTTCAATATAATCTTATGATTTTGACAGCAATAACATTAAACGCAGAATGAAGTTTTCTGCAATAGTGTAAAATGTTCAAAATGACCAAGATTGACTTGACAATTCTTCTCGCAGCCCGGTTTTATAGTTTGTATAGTTTATTTTAACAGTAAAGTAATGAAACAAATACACAAGTTTCAATTTATGAATCATATTTTATTAATACAAGAACACACATTTTATATCAAAATTAAAAACGGAAACATTTGACCAGCCTACCAATATTTAGTTATTAATTACGTTCGTCATAGCCGTATAGTTATCATACCTCTATAGGTATAATAACCGTATAGGTATCATACCCATTTTCAGTTTAGAAACTTTGGAGTTTTATCGTAGAAATTAGCTAGGACTTAAACATTGTTAGAACATATATTTAAAATTTACTTTATTTTCGTTATTCGTTAATTTAAATTGAATATTATTTCTAAAAATATTTTTTTAAGGAATGATTGTGAGTCTGGGACCCGATTTCCCGGAAAATACAATTGAATTATATCATTGACTCTCTACAACGTCTACGTCCATATGTATTATATATTATGATATATTATGATCTATTATATTATGAAGTTCTTCGAGATAGAGATACCAAAAAAGTTTTACAAGACTCATTCTTGATTCCATTCATCGTCATACCTGGTGGGAGTTTCTAATTATAGTCTTTCTGCGTGAGTGGATGAAAGGACCCTATAGTCGCTCAGTTGCTATAAATATTATTATATAATAACTGGTACCTATATGGTTTAATAAAAGCAATATTTTTTCATCTCTTTCGGTGAAATTGTTCATACATACAGATATTCAGTGTACAAGAGACATTGAAATTAAGGTATAAAAAGAAAATTGAAGAATTTATTACCGCGGTGGTGCAGAGATAGTTTACGAGAAATGCGCATAATATATTATTATGATATGGTAACAAAAATTTTTTATTACCTACATATCTTTGTTTTTTTCTTATTTTTTATTCTTATGGAATGGTCGTAAGACCACTGCAATATATAATCAATCCTAGTCGCATAATATTCGAACAATAATTATTCGTATACGAAAATAATTATGTTTTATTGGGCAGTCCATTAAATCGTTTATTTTGAAATAGAAAATTCGACATAATATTATTCTTTTCTAATAAGTTGAATACAATATAGCCATATATACCTACACTATTATGATGAGACTGATATTAATATTATTTTAATTTTACAGCAGGTGGTGTAATATAATTTCCGTGTAACGCGTGTTCACAGTCTGACGTTACATATAGGTTTACAATTTAAATGCACATACACTTTGTGTGAATAATTATTTGTGATCCACGTTATCAATATTGTAAATTAATATGCTCGCATCGCTTCTGGAGACCATATTATTATGTTTGTGTTTGAGAGGGGTAGTGACGTGTTTTGGGTGGGATAGATGATGTGATCATATAAATTGGTTAAATTTTTTTTATCAATAATAATATTCTAAGATAGCAATACCAGCTGGCACCACGATGCTATAGACAAAATTGTTGATAGTGTTGATGATAATCGATGATAGTTATTAGTTCCTCTAAAGCTTGAAAAAAAATAATGTAGGTTAACTGTAAACTGTAAATATTTATTATTTGTAATTAGTTGATAATAAATAAATCTATTTTACACTTTTTGACAGATTTTCTAATGATAACATAGTGTGCTAGTAAGGATAAGTCAACTTAAGGTAGGCTCCTATTAAGCTATTAAGCTTATTAGGTATTAAAATAATTTTTGTGGTGTGTGTGTGTGTGTGTGTGTGTGTGTGTGTGTGTGTGTGTGTGTGCGGTGGCGAGGGAGACACGCAGGTGCCAAATTCTTAATTACGTCTCTGGGAGGGTAATACAGTGCACACATAATTTATTTAAAACAAATTATATAAAAAGTAGAAATGAATTAAAAATTTTGAAAACACTTCATCGACAAGTGATGTGGTTTAAATGACGATACGTTATTATTAACGAAACAATATCACCAACTGGATAGTCGTCAAGGCCGTAGCCAGGGGGGGATTCAGGGTTCAACAACCCCCCGCCATCGAAATTTTTTTTGAAATTAGATTTAATTATTTTTTAAATAAAGATTAATTTTAAATTTAATTTAAATTATATTTTTATATTTTCATATTTTATTATATAATATAACATATTTATACTCAAAACCACACCCTAAATATTTTTCTGGCTACGGTCTTGATGGTAGTAGAACGCTTCGTGAAATATTATAAACAAATAAAAACAATTTTTTTTTTGGCTATATCGACACATATTATAATTTATAATACATATTATTATATTATTTGTATGTGTCATAAACCTCCCAGTAGATATGTGTATATAGAAAGAAGAGAGGCGTCTACTGACAGTTTTGGTCCAAATTTTAAATTGATACTACTCCACCTCTGCATTTTTATTCGTATTTTTTCAATAGAAAGTCCAAGGAAAGTAATGACGTGTATCAGTTTTATTATATTATTAATTATTATACGTTCTATGTTGTCCACATGTCATCAAATCGCGAAAAACACATTCTTATTCGGTCGAGCGTTAATCGCCATGGCACGCGTACATTATTGTCAATACGATGTCCTTTTTATATTATAATACGCTTTGCAGTGCGTTATAAATTCGGAGTGAGAATATGTCTGGAAGAAATAAAGAAAAAGAGAGAGAGAGAGACCCATTGTTTTAATTACATTTACAGCAAGGGTCAAGTAATTTAACGTGGTTGTCTTAATAGAATGCACGATTCACGCCATCAGTTGAAATTAATATTTATAATATCTCGTTTTAAAATATAATAGGTACGTGTGTGTGGTGTGAAAAAATTCGTCGTACATTTTATTCGTTGAAACAACAACAACAGTAGCAACTACGGTGATTGTATTCAAAAGGAAATGACGATAATGTATTTTGACTATGTTTATTATTCTAACCGGGCCGGCGAATACGCGTCATTTCGGTCGACGCTATTTTCTTCTCTTAAGCCTCTGGCTCGTCGAATATCATTAAAACATTATGATATTGTCGTCATAGATCGATACCGCCGAGGTTACCTATTAAACGTTTTGATGTGCTTACCGAATGCCAAGCACACGCGATATAGTCATATGTTTTATACGGTTCCACTACCTACACAGGTAAAATTGCGCGCGTCATAGAGTATTATAGTAATAACGCATACTTATTTGGCCATAAATCAAAATACGCGTCGCCCGGAATCGTTTGCTGCCGCCACCGTGACGTAGTCGGACGCACATCGCGGAGAAGAGGACATCACGGAAACGTGGCGCGTAGAATTATTGCGTTACGATAAATCATCGTCGTGAATCGGATGTGTGTATATTGTATATATATATATATATATATACGTAATAATATCATTACGGACGGTAATAATATCGTTACTAACAATTCAATCATGCAACAATGGAATAAACATAACATTAATTTAGATACCAGGGCACAGCAGTATAGAATTGAATGACAAAGCGGACCAAGAAGCCAGTAGGGCGTTAGAACTATAACCAATTCAATCTTTCAGGTCACAACTCATAGGGACATAAATAATCAAATTCAAGATATTATTAAAATCAAATGCAGTTGCGTTTTTATGGCAGTGCTCAAGGGTGGAGCGGGGGGGGGGAGGGGTCCCCGAACGCCAAATTCTGATTCACCCATAAATGGGTGCCGGTGGTAGAGGTTCAAAGTAGGTACCTAATTAAAATGATGAATTTGTATTTTTATGAAAAATTGAACGTTTTATAATTTAAAGTGTATTAATATCATTTTTTGTCAAAATAAAATATATAAGTTAGTGTAAAAGTACAATGTTGAGTGGCTTTTAAGTTTTATAAAGAAATGTATGATAAGAATAGTTTTGGGTTGTTGAGGTTTGATAAATTTTGGAGGGAGATGTTATTTATGGTGTTATGCGAGAGTACGTCACCTAGTATACTACCTTATAATTATGTGTATGTTGTTAAAATTTATGGAAAAAGGGCGTTACTTCATTATGTGTACCCAAAGTGCCATATTTCTAAATATCTACTATTCAAATGACAAACAAATTGGTGTCGAAATAAATCAAAGCTTAGGTAAATTAAAAACACAATACGCGATTGGCAATATCTCTGAATTAAAAATAAAAATAAAAACAATAGGTACTTATAATAGACTATAGTCTCTTTCTATAGGGATAGGACACACCAGAATAACACATGGTTTTCTGATGTCATAGAAAGATCCACTTGCATGTAAAACCTGTGGTTATAGGTTAGGTCAATACAATAATGATCAATAATCTACTGACGGAATGTGGCAGTACAAAGAAGAGCTAGAAGAATGTGAAATACACAAACCTTAGATGCGTTGCTAGGACTCAAACTTGAAAAAACCTAAGCTTATTATATTATAATTAATAAAAACCAAATTCTACAACTATAATTGTAATAATAAAAAAAAAAACTTGTTTAAGTAAAAGAATTGTACATAACTAATGACATATGCAGTTTATTTTAGATCCATAATAAAAAAAAAAAAAAACGGCGCATGACGTATTCGTGGTTGACATACGTAATAATAATATATAGCAGGCTAACATGACTCGCCAGGTATTCTATTATTATAATTAACTTCATAGGTATTAACTACGGGCAGGTAAAGTTATATTGTATAATATTATCCCTGTAGTGTTTTTCTGATAAAGCCAACTGCATATACATCACAGCAAACCAAATATACATTAAATTATACATTTATAGAGATATTAGCTCAGCGTCCGCACGGACATTGAAACTGGGTAAATTGTTTGGAATTTGTCACAGCATTACATAAAATGGAAATAGCATAATATTTTAATCTAGACCTAGCTAGGTGTGCATCGTACTTGCCTAGTAAATCTTTGAGAAACTCTCGGAAAAATCCACCAGACCGGTGTCGCCTGGTGGAGATTTTCTTGTACTTCATGATGGAAATCTTACGAACCGTGAGGTGTACGCTGTATTGGAAGGAGGAGTGGTCTTCGATGGGATAATACAAGAACCTCTTATTCTATGCACTATATTACAATACAATTGTCGTATCAAACGCCATATTACACAGGTGATATACTTTATTTCGGTCTGATGTGCCTCTGAAAAAAAAAGCGAACAGACGTGTCGTGGCAACCAACGCGTCTATTGCGTTATTATAAATATTACCTAAATAATAATACACACACACACACACACACACACACACACACACACACACACACACACACACACACACACACACACACACATACACTGTTGAGCTATTATCGTTGCAATAATTTATCGTCCAACACCGATGTGGCGCGAGTGGTGGTTCGACAATTCACCGCTCGCCGCACTGGCAGCACTGCCGCCGCCGCCCGGCGTAATGAAGACCCATAAGCACGTCGTTCCCACAGCAACCGTCGGCAGAACGCTACTTAAAGTTCAGCTCTCCGGTGCGTGCTGTCCGCCGAGACCGTAACCAACTGCTGTGCCACACACGTTTTCCAAGTTCACTTTCGAGACACGGCGGCCGTTACTACAGCAGGTAACTGATAAGCATTCCAATATTGTGTATTATAATTTGTTAAAATGTTTTTACTAAGTGACATCAGAATAGCGTTATAGTGTAGGTATTAGCCATCAGATATATTATTAAGATGATAATATTTTTCAATCACTTTTGTCCAATTTTCGATTTTATAATGCATCAGCGTACTGCTATAATTGTCTGCGTATGTTGGGAACTAACCCGACAGTTACTGTAAAATCGTAATATCACGTAGGTGGTAGGTGCGCACTAGACCTGAAATATACAATTATGTAATATTGTTTGATCATTTTTCATGCACGTATGGTACAAAAAAAAAAATCCACGAAACAGTATTTTATTGTATACATACTTACGTCATAAAACCATGATAAATAGCCACAACCAGCCGTTCGCCATGCAGTTGATTCCGCTTTGGGAGACCTTTGACAAACACCGCTAACGTGTTTCGAATATTTTGACTATGGTATTATATAATTCTGTCATCGAAACGCAACTAATGCCCGAAAAGAATATTGTGCACGTGTTTTTTCGGCTTGTGCGCATAGTAATCAAGTATAGGTATTATATAGTCTGTTTTATATAATTTATTCGATCGAGAAGAACACTATCGTTATTTTTTTACCCGACAAATTGTACAAGGTAATTTAATGTTTATTTGTAGTTTGTACGATAAAACGACGAATATATTAGCGGTTGTATTATTGTGTTGTAGTAAGAATTTTACAGGAATTTGTTTGCTATTAATTGTTCAAGATAATTCTTGGGTGTGCCTATAATGTTAATTTTTAAACAATCATAGCGACTGAATCAATTTTTAAGGGACAGCTAGCACCATTTAGTTAGGTCGAACTTAACACATTATTATATTTTCAACTATCGTCTGGGGCTATTGAAATCCCATTATTTTAAATAATTTACTTTGAAAAACTATTTAATTTACTAGTAACTACTATTGTAAATGTCAAAGAATCTATGAATAATTCAAAAGCAAATTTTTAAACATTACCAAGTACAATTCACAATTTATTATCTTCAGGTAATAACAACTATAATCATTATCATTCAATTTTCAGATCTTGTAAAGTCATTTGAAAAAAGTATTTTTGGTCTGTAAACATTAAGCGTCAAATATATTAGGTACCTATAAAGTTAAAGTATAATTTTTTTTTATTGATACAAGACTCTCAGCAACATGGGCTATTGGGTTTATAAAATACAACATGATGTGTACCTATTCTAAATGATTTTAAATTTTGGTTTGACTTTTGGCGATTCTGATGAATTGGATAATGTTGGCTATGGTTTGAGGGTGACTGTGGAGTATTTCGGGTAGTGATTTTGGCAGGTTTTGACTTGTTTTGATATTGTGGTATATTCAGGATTTAGTGAGAATGTGTTTCATGGTGACTTTTAATGAATAATTATGTTATGCAATTGTGTAATATTCCTACTACCTGTGTTATAATTAGTTAAAAATATGATTTCTTTTTAAAATAATTTATATAATGTTTTGAGAAACAAAAACTTGGTAAAATGATTAAATTGTTTTATAAATATTATATATTTATCGTATATTGGATTTTGGTTCAATGTAAAGAGTAATACGAGGATAATAATAATATAGAAATAATAACACATGGATTTGAATAAATATTTATAATTTTATGTTTTTAACGTTTGATACTTCTCCCAAATTATGTAAATTGTATACACATCTGGAAAGCTTAAATTTAATGCCTTTGATCAGCTTCTGGATATTTCATTCAAAAAACATTCCAGCACCACTTTTTTAGTAGTTCGTCGAAATTTAACTTTATAACATATTTATATTCATGTTATATACAATATATTATACCGATGAACCACACTCTTTATAGTAATGATTTTATTTAACCATATTTTCTAAAATTATTATAAACTGTTTGCCTAAACTATTTTTATTATAACAATAATTCATTTGTTAGGTAATCTGAATTTGCATCAGGCCCTTCATCCCTAAACAAACCATATGAGTTGTCAATTGTTTTTTGAACTAGAGCAATTATTTTTAGTTCAGGGTACACAATGTTGAACATTCAGATGTATAAACTGGAAACAAAATTTAAATTATTCGGGTTGCGATCAAGAGTCGAAGCCATCTATTTATTCGGTCTAAACTAATACTCAGTTGACGTAGTTATAGCATTGTATATTACACATGGTATATTGTAAAAAAGTCTTATTTCACCAGCCTAAAATTTTAATACCTATAATATGACATGATTATTAATTTAAAGTTTTTTTTATCTCAATTCATATTTAGAAGTCTAAAACAAAAAAGATAATACAAACAATTTATTTTCATTTTATTATTGATATATATATATATATATATATGTATATATATTACTATAGCAATTGAGGAAAATATTTTTTTGTATTAAAATAAACTTTTAAATCTATATTTGATTATTTTCAAAACAAAATTTTTCCTCTATTACTTAAGTATTATATGTACATATAGGTATATATATATCAATAATAAAATGAAAATAAATTGTTTGTAAAATTATTTATTTATCAAATTTTGATAAAAAAAAATATAGAATAAATTATCTGCATAATATAGGTATTATTAAATTGACAGTAAATGTTGTAAAAAGAATTATATTTAATAATAAATTTAATTATTTATCAATATAAAGTAATCTACTTCCATAATTGTTGTTTCTATTATTTCCAAGTACCAGAATTTGAATTTTGGATATTCGTGTATAATTTAATTTATTCAAGTTATATGTGTTTTGAACTAATTTTTATACTTTCCAAAAAATTTAATTTGATAAATATTTATTATGTTAATACAAAAACAAATTTTATAATGTTACACTATTGCACTTTTCGAAATATACAATAATATAATATAATATGCTTACAGCATTATTGTTTCCTATATTATAACATATTTTGTTACTTCAGTCCTTTTTTTAAGTATTAAATAAAAGAAATAATTTGAGCTGCTAAATATGAAATGAAGATACGAATCGTGAATAAAAATCGTTACATTTATATTAAACAGTAATAAAATAATGTCTACTAATTTGTGTTTTTAAAATTCTAATTACAAGCTAGGAGCCAGAAGATATATTATATTGCGTCAGTGTAAAATTGTATGGTACCTATACAATATTCTACTGTGATGAATTAATTGGAAACTTTGATAACCTATACATAATAACAATTATGCTCTTTAAATAAAGTTAAAAACAATTTTCCGATGTATCTATATTCAAAAAATAAAAATAAAATAGAAATATTGATAGTTTTTTTCTAGTACTAAAAGAGTAAACAAATTTATAAACGAGAGGGTAATTATTAAAAATTTTAATTTAAAAAACTTATTAAATTATAATTGAAAGTTATAAGAAATATATATTTAAAGTGTTCAGAAAAAAACAAGAGACTTTAAATTCTTATGAGATTGTTACCTGCAATATTTCTTATCAAACTTATATTAAATATAAAAGATTTGTAATCATGATTATCAAATTAATTTAATCAATTTGTTTTATCTATAGCACAGATAAAGTAAGGAGAGAGAGTAAGAGAGTTATAATGGTAACATACAGTGTGTACCTCAAGATCTTTCGCATTGAAATGGGATTTCAATTTAAAATGTTCATATATTTTTTTTACATTTCATAGTTTTGCCCAAAATGATTTTTTTAGTTGTTACTATTGCTTAATATTAAATGAAAATTGCTCTAAAAATCCCCAGAAATTTTTTTTCTTTATTGGTTAAGCATCAACTACACATGTTATTAGCTTTACAAGTGTTACATTTTAACATTGAAGGTTATATGCTATTATACAATTTAATTTTTAGTAAGTATAAAATTATATTTTGAAAGTTTGAATATGAACCAATACAGGTTGTCTGGGATGTTGAAATCTTTTCTGGCTTCATTGAAGTTAGGGAAGTGGATGATCCTACTAATTTGTATGTATTAATAATGAGTATAATACTATTTTACCAAATACGTACTTAAAACAACTGCAGTCAAGCAATATTTTTATGTGCATAGAGAAATCATTATGTAAGACGCATAATTGGCCGTAAGTTGTCGCCTGTTACAAATTTTTATATATTTTATTAACTTTTACAATAATAATGAAATACAATGAAAATCGAAACAAAATATAGAAGAGTATAAAAATAAGCGCATATCTTGGGATCTCAGCTGTTAAATTAGTTTAAATATTACGTGTATGTATGAACATTTATTAAAAATAAAAAGTAATAATACTATCTAAATATTTCATCATGTATACATTGTAAAAAATAAATATAGGTAGGTACACGCTAATAATTAAAGCTTTATAATATTAATTTAACAACAAAATTATCTATTAAAATG